AGCAAGGTAAGACAACAGGAGCTGCCAGTCCTGTGAGATCTAGAAAACACGACAAGAGTAAGAGGAATTGTCTTGGAGGCTAACAGCAAGTGATGTAGCTGGGACACTGCCTGACCACATCCATACAAGCATCAGAATCAAACAAAAGCAGAAAAGCAGTCATGGTGTACACCTGAGAAGCAGCAGACAGCAAGCTTTAGAAAAAGCCAAGAAACTGGGTCCCGTTTGTTTATAACCTGTCCATGACACTGAACTTTAAGAAGCTTGGCAAAAAAAAAAAAAAAAAAAAAAAATGTTTTTCAAGTCATCTCTGCAACAGCAGTGGCAGCTTCTCTCAGAAGAGCAGACCAGATGGCCAGGACATGGTAACTGCTTCAGCTATCCAATTTTACATATGCTGACATGAGCCAGAGCCCAGTCTAAACAGACACAATTACTCTGACTTATTTTACTAAAGTTTTCTCCTTATTTAAATAAAACAAAATCCAAACTCTTTACTTCAGATCTTCCAGATCACCTCCACCAGGGCTTTGGGTAGAAGCACGTTTGCTTTCTCCCCACTCGAGCAAGTAACATGGGCAAACTCAACCAGGGAATCCAGATGAAGCCACCCAGTCAGCCAAGGCTGCTTCTGTTTCCTTCTCTAACATTCAGCAGACGGAGCCTTGGCAATGAGACAGAGCAGCTTGAATTTCCAATCTGTTGATTCAAATTCAACCGAGGTTGGTAACAACTGAAATCCACGGCTTCTGACAGCTGTTTAAAAGGCCACACAAACTGGTTTCAGCACAGCTCCTCGTGGGTAAGGGCAAACAAAACCATTCCTGCTGTCTTGCTCGGGGGCCACCTCGAAGACAGGCTTCTTGGGAGGTTCAGGATGAAGAAGAGTTCAGTACTGTTGCTGTTATAAAACCTCTAAGGTCCCCAAGGATAAGAAGCTTCGTTCATAAGTACTATCTTTGTGGCACAAATGCCTTTGCTGTTCTTAGTGACCGGTAATTATGAAAAAAAAATCTCAGGTGTACAAAAACACTTGCATACTTGGAGAACAACAGGAGATCTGAAGCACTGTAGTGTCATATGGCAGCTATTCCATTACTGAATGTTTTAAAGAGATATTTCATGATTCATATGCATGGGAAGTTTAAATATTTACAGCGTATTTCTGTGTTTTAAACATTTGCTTTTGAAGAAATCAGCATGAAACAGCACACTGCGTGTACTTACATCTACAGCTTTCTGGCTTCCATTCAGGCCAGTGCACATCTGCCCCATCCAGCACAACACAGCGTGAACATATTAGCAATAGAGGCTTTCATGTTACTCAGACACACAGCTTCTTTGAAGAGCTCTGCTTTGCTTCTTTGCTTGACCATCTCCGCACCAGGAGAAGTAATAAGAGAGCACCTACACTGGTTAAGATACACGATGAAATGGTAACCAATTTTTGAAATGAGAATGAGAAAGCCAATTGAAACATCCAGTAATAACCCCGGAAGAAAAGACATGTCAAAAGGAGTAAGGAAAAAAAAAAAAAAAAACAGCAAAACCAAAACTCTCACCCAACAGAAAGAAACACAAAAAGCCACAGCAGCTCTGGGAGTCCCCCATGTGAGCAGCAGAAATAACAGCAGAGATGGGTAACACCATTTATAGTCTTCATAAGTTACACTTCCCTTGGAAATTTGCCCATAGAATTGTAATAAAATACTGTGCTGAACTACTGTTTACTACCATATTTATGAACTCTTCTATAAACATCTCCAGACAAGCGTGCATATCTACCAGCAGAATTTAGTGAGATCATTACAGTCCAGAAGCAGAGCCCAACCCATAAACTCTGTATTAAAAAAAAAAAAGTCAGGAAAGCCATACTGCACCGACAGCTTCTCAGGCTGGTGGAGGTAGAAGCCATTAAAGGAAGCTTTGTGGGGAAAAAAGCAGGTCTTCTAAAGATAAGCAGCTTTCAGCTCAAGCCATTGCAAATTCCTTGCAAACAGGACTTGGGCAGACATTGCCAAGTAACACTCCAGCAGCCCAGGCTCCAACAGTCTCTCCCCCAGCCAAGGCAGGCAGCCCACTCACTGCTGGAGCTGCTGGCCTTACCCTCCCACAACCATCACAACCAGGTTTTCTCTGTCAAAAAGAAACTGCATTTCAGAATTCAAAAATCCCTTTTCCCCTTTTCCTCCTGATGATCAACTTGAACCTACGATGTATGCCTTGAAAGCCTGAAGCGCAAACACAGCATCACAACTTTCTAAGGCAGGGCTGGAAGCAAAAGGGCTGGCGACAGAAAGAAGAAGGCTCCATCCTACCAGAAACTTATTAGAGGAATGAAGGATAAGGGAACAAAAGCCAGATGGCTCCCATGCTCCATATCCACAAGTGAAAAAGCAAGGTAAGAGAAATCACTGGGCTGAAAACCCTCAGAAAAGAAAAGCTACAGCATTTAGAGTCGAGCTGACACAAGTTACACCATTTGCAGAAGTCCACCACAGCACTTTAGCAAAATGCTCGAGGGTACAGCGAATTTAGGAACTGAAAATAAAGTTTCAACAAAATACTAAGTTCAATTACTGTCATGTCACACACAAAATGCCAACCTATGGGTAACAGCACAAGAGTTCTCTACAACCATACCAGAATTAGTGAAGCAGGTAGCTGAAGGAGATGAAGAGGAACAGAAGAATCTAACTCCCTCCCCAGGAAAGAAAAATGCATCAACCCATCAGTGCGGGGAACTGGGGGAAACTTTGCTTTTGGATCCTCAAAGATACACTTCCCCAAAACCACTACATGTTTCTCATAGGAAAACACAAGCCACACTTGTTTAAATAAAATAAAAAAAACACCCAACATATATTAAGTCTCAACAATCACCAAAGGCAACAACACATCACTAAGCAGCCAGGTAAGAAAAGTACAGGTGCCAGTATCCATTTAAAGTTTTTTTAATAAAAAAAGACCGAGAATTCACAAGTCTCCAAGGAAACACAATCCAACTTGCATCAACCAGTCTCGGAGCTGATAGTGTTTGGTTCTCAAAGGGAGCACAGAGAGCAGCAATAAAAATTGTCACAGGTCAGCGTACTACTCCCCTCCGGCAGTAAGCTCGGCTTAGTTCACAACCTGCAACTTTATTTTCCTGGATTGTTTTTCGGAATACAGAACTATTAACCAAAATAGTCCTGGCTTAGTCTTTAAGGAACATAAAAGAAATCTCCACAGGAAAATATCTCTTAAAAAAACACCTTAAGACCAGGTGTTCCAAAATGTCTCCTTAAATTACTGTAGGCAAAAAAAATATTACAGGTACAATGTAACATTTTTATTGTAACAAACTACTTTCTCTGCAGTCAAGCAATTCGCTCTTCAGCATTTTTTGGCACACAAGGACTCCCTGAAGTCAGCAAAGGAAAGCTCACTCACCCCTGGGAACTTTATCCTCTACTGCTACAGCAGCTCCTCGTTCGGTGTGCCTAGTGCTCCAGAAAGCCACATGCTCTTGCCTTTTAAAGTAAGATTAGCTCAGTTTACAAATAGTTTGTCCAATGACATCAGTGAGCCTTTATGAGTAACAACAACAAAGAAAAAAAGCACTCTGCAGGAGCTCCTAGGAATTCTTCAGCAACAAGCCTTCCACAGAAATGATGGGAAAGAGTTATCGAACACCACTTTCCTCACTGAAAGCCAAACATTGGTTCCTGCATTTAACTCTTTCCACAGTTTTTAGTCAGAATCTCTTAAAAATACATCACTTTTCACATTAATCAGGACTTATATGAGGTTATTGCCAAGCCTGTGATCTAATACTAAAGTCCACAGCTAGCACTTTTTGAACTGTAACACTGAAATTGTAGTTTCCCCTAAAATATTTCCTTGGACCAAAACAAAAAGGTACTCTTTCCTCACATTTTTCTAGAAGAAAAATGAAACCGACGACTTCCAACTTGGTGACAAAGTTGTCCAACTTGAGAGGCTAAACAACCCACACCTGCATCAAGGCTCATTTCCCAGCGATTTGATCACTGAAACGAAGCTTTTACATCTCGGACATCGTTGTGTAATGAGAAGAGACCAAGTCTCATGTACTGACTCGAGCTACTCACTGAGCATTTTACAGTGGAGGGTGTCGTACGTAGCTCATGGGTTCAAATAAACAGCCAGATGGTTCTTCACCAGCATCTGTGTTATTTACCCACAGAGCGGAGAGGGAGCTTAAGCCAAATAATATTAAAATAAGATCTGTGCTTGCAGGAAAGTACGGTGCCTCATTCGGCTTTCACTGTGGTAGCTGTCAGTACTGGAAACAAAGTTTTGTGCACCAGGAACTTCAATGTATTTCTGCTTTTGCAAATAGGGCAAGATGCTATTTCAACATGCTTCTGTGTGCCATTGTTGAGAAACAGGAAGAGTAATTATCTGGTAGCTGCAAAAAAATAAAATCAAAACATCATGCGTCATAATAAGCCTGCTCCTCAACTTCCTTGATTCGCCAGTCCTTGATTCATTTTCTTCATTAGATATTTAATTACCATTGGTGAGACTTCATTTCTGAGAACAAGCATACATTTAGCATCTTAATCAGAGGTTGATTTGCTATTTGAAACAATAAGGCAAGTTAATAAAATAAACATCTCATTGTTCTATTCTCAGTTATTAAACCCCCTACTTGTTACTAATACCTGAGCGCCTAGTTTGGAGAGGTATTTATTCCTTAAACTAAAGTCATCAGCTTTTGGCCGTAATTTAGCCAAGTCATCTTCATTTTGACGTCTGAGTCTCTCTTGTTCTTCCGCTCTGGAAAAGAAAATTGGTTTAAGATATTTGCACTGAGGAGTGCAAACCCAAGCAACTTCATCTTATGTATGCAGCTTTATTTTTAATAACTAGAAAATGCTTGCAACGTTTATAGATGAACACTGGATAGCAGTTTAAGAGACACTAAGAGGTGGGTATGGATTACTCTAACTCAGTGTAAAGAAAGAGAGAGGCTGTTTTCTGCAGTTTCCTTTTATTCAGATTGCAAGACTTCGGTAGAAAGATCAACCTTTTGGTTTTCACAGATTACAACGTGCTCAGTAAGCTTTTGTAACAATTTTTACCGTCTCTTTATTAAACAAGCTTTCACTCCTTAAAATTACATTACAAAAAGAATCAGTTGTCAAAAATGCAAATAAAAGACTGCTCAGCAGTCTTCAGAATTAATAGCAGTCTCCTACAAAAGTGTCAATATTTGACCAGGGCATCGTGGCTCTTTCTTCATATAAGCCTTAAACAGAACCAAAGCTCTAAATACACTTTGCGTAAGACAGTGGTTTGCATTAAGACCGTGACAAAGGCAGTAACAGTGACCCGTTTCTAAGCTCTGTAAGGCAGTGAGCCTTACTACAGAACATAAAGTGCCATTAGGTAAAGAAATCTCCCCCACACCAAGAGGGTAGTGCTGGACCAAAAAGACACTTTACACTAGTCTTCATTTTCAGATGAACACGTTTGTCTCAGCTTGCAGAGTACCCTCTCCAACCACAGAGCTTAAACACAGTGCAAAATGGTATAAACCCATTCTGTTCAAATTCAAAGAGATGATTTGGTTACAAAGCATAAAATTTAGCCATTTCCTGTAAAGCCCCCAGCAAGTTACTTTCTTTTCCAAAGAACTACTGTGCAGAGTGACCAAACTAAACATTATAATTCTTCAAGTTGACATGATGCTGATCAAATGCTCCCCACTTCTGGATGATATTTGCTATTCAACTTTCTTTTCTGAAAAAAACATTGTAATAAAAATTACTGAAAATATTGTTCTACAGCACTGTATCCCACAGCATACACCAATACAAAGCCATCTTTCACATTAAATACTGCAAGTGTTATACACATCCAAGGTAGGCCAGGCAGACTGAAAAGCAGCCCTATTTGGACACAGAATTTCTTCACTCCTGGGTACCAGGTTTTGGGGTTTTTGCTGTTGCATTTGTATTAAAACTCAGTTGTAACCTTTTGGCTCGAGGATGACACTCATCACAACTAAGCCAGTGTGCTCACCAGGTCTGGTGCAATTTGATTTTTCTTGAGCTTTCCTCAAGACTGATGCGTAAAAAGCTCACAAATTAGGACAAGAAACAAAACCATGTTAAACCCCACAAGTCACCTGGCTCGACCTTGTCGGCAGGTACTTTAGTTTTTTGAGACTAACTTAAGTATCATCACATGGACAGATACACAGCCCAGTTTTAGAGAAGTCCATGAAGTCCATTTATAAGAGATACCTTGTTAGCAAAGTATGTATCTGTAATGAACGTATATATAAGCTGTGGAATGTATATCTGCAGGTGAAATGTAGTTACCTATTAAAAAGTAATTCCAACAACATCACAGACAAAATGAGCTACAAGGCCTGAAGAGACTCACTGAGCTGAATTAGGTCAGAACAGAAAGCATTTCAACAGAAAAATTCTGTGTTGCTCACACACAAGCAGCGTGAATTCTACAGGTGTTATTTTGGTAGCTGTGCCTCGCTGCGTATCGACTTGCTCTTTCACATGACAAACATTAAACTACATCTAGAGTCGTGAAACGCATATCCTGTGCCCTCTCCAATAGTTCTTACTCACAATCTCACCAAAACAAGTGCAGATCAGAGGAGCAGAACCTGACATTTCTTAGACTTGTTCTACCCTTAAACAAATTAAACATTTGCTTTAAATATATTTTATAAAAAAATATATCAATAAATTAACCAAGCATTCATCCCCATTGACATTACATTCTCCAATGCACATATGTTTGTAATCCTCACAGCACTAATCAGAACTAGGAAAAGGTAACACAATTTTTGGGTGCTGAGACACTACTAGAAGAAGCACCTTCAGCAAGGTCACCAGGACAAACTCAATCCGATGGACACACTTTACATTTTGTCTACTTAAAAAAAGCAGCTTTTCTAGACAGTTAAGTGCATAGTGGAGAAGCTGGAGTGGAAGGGTCTTTTGTTTTGCCTTTAAGGTGACATCTCTTAACAGACTTTGCCATACAGCGCTGCTCCTCTCCTCTTTCCATAATACAAGGCAATTATTTTGAAAGTTAGAAGCCTAACCCAGTGTCTGACTCCCTTGTGCAGCATTCCACATCCCTTGAGAGCTTTTAACCCTCTCAGATACCAAACAAAAAAGGCAAGTAAACTTTCTACTGTGCAGAGGGGATAAATCCAGTGCCCTAGGACTCGGGGGATGTGCCAGCAGCAGGTGACTGACACCTTCACATCTGATCAAACAACACTTAAAAGCAAGAGTACCCGATTCCAGCTGTTAGGGCTACGCACAGCAATGGATCCTTACCACACCACCAATGTTTTGTCAAGACCAAGGAAGAGTATTTAAGTTACTGCTCTGAAGGGTGTCGCTATCCTTATTTTCTGTAGAGAGGAAAGCAGAACATACAAGTCTCCCACAGAATGAAGTTTGCCCAATCGGAAGAACAGTCAAAATTTGATTATTTTGACAATTGCTGCCCTAAGGCCACTTCTTCAGTGCTCCATTTCCTTTCAAATTAAATGGATTACACTTTATTGAAATACTGCTGCCTCATTTTCTTTCTAAAAAGCAGAAATTTTTCACTATCATCAGTAACATTTATGACACAGATCTGACCACAAACTGAGTTTCACATTAGTGCTGTAATTTAGACTCATGCCACAGTTTTCAGAGACAAGTTGAATTAAGATTTCTAAATAAGATAGCAAAGGGAGCAACCTGAAATGAAGGGGAAGTGACTGGAGTGTAGCTTTATCTGAAGAGAGATCTAGCTTTTAATGACACTTTAAAAATTGGTCCATGCATTACCTGACTTTAAACCCAGGTAATGTTTGCTGCTGACCGGGTCAAGTACATGCCATAGAAAGGAAGCACCATTTGTAAATAAGCGATAGAACATTTTTAAAAACACACTTTGATTCCACTCATTTGGAAAGTCACTGAAATAGAGAAAAATAGCAAGGAAAGCACTCCTGGTTAATTGCTACTTCCTCTATTCATTGACAGGAGGCAGGAATATGAAATCCTAATACTAACTGGTAAGAAAGATAAAAAAATAACATTCTGTACAAATGACAGACCTACAAAAAAGAGACTGACTTCAGACAGTAATCTACTTAAATACTTGAGGTTAAACATTTCATAAAAACCCTGTTCTTTACACTTACTCAGTTGCAGCTACTTTTTGCAGTTTTTCCCTTTTCTTTGCGGACCAGTTGAGATCACCACCTACAACAGAAGTAATATACACTTTGAAAATTTTAAAATTGGTCTTTTTGTATACCTTTGATATCATACCTCACTGCAGAAGTTCTCAGAGCACTTGACGAAAGAAATCAGTGGAGCAATTTTACAAAAGTAGAAACTGAGGTAAAGAGAAAGAGCAACAGGTTCACAATCACCCAAGCCAGCAAAATCAGGACCCAAACTAAACTCTCCAGCCTGATCCAGTTTTCCATTGAGTAACAACAAATTTCTCTACGATTCACCATAATGTCCCATAAAACTAAAAGAAAGTGGAAGTAACTTTGAAAGAAACAAATTGACATTCCTCCCAGTTCTTTCACTAGTTACTGCTTTGAAAAACAATTAAAAGAAAACTGCTATTTGAAGGGAAGTCTACAGAATTAGGTTTTTGTATTTACAGATACATATACAGCGAAGTTTGATATGCAGTTTAGAAAAAGCTACAGAATATCCTCTACATTTGTTCAAATCAGCTGAAGGGACAGGTACCACTGCCCTGCTGATGAGATTGAACATCACAGCAAGTTTTGGTGAATTAACACACTACAGCATCTAGGAAGATGATGAAGCTATATGAAGCCATGAGTTGTAGCACCTGACACAACCATACAGCACCACCTGTAAACAATTCAGCTTGATAACTTCAAGAATTACAATAAAGACAAATATCAAGAGAAGCTGAAAACACTTACCTGTGAGGTGATTCACAAAATACAGCATGACTACAGCTATTAGTGCCACTAAAAAAAAAAAAAAAAAAAAGGAACCATTTTAGCTGACAATAAGTTTACAACAACAACAGAAAAGCTTTAACATGCAACTAGGCAACAACAAGGCATTTTCATAATAGTTGTAATTGAGGGGAGACTTTTGCCAGCAGCATCTCTTAATTGCTTTTGAAAATTCCACTATGCTCCTAAGTAGCACAATAACTCAGAAAAAGTTTCTAGTTATATTAATAACAGCCTTCATAAACATAGCCTTTAACAGCATCATTCACCTATCCTTTTACTCATTTTTTTCAAAACACTGAAACTACTTGCACTAAATCCCTTGAAGAAAACCACACAACACTTCACTCGGTTTGAGTGACTTTCAATATTGCCCCAATCTCTTAAGAAAGAAGTTATTACTGTTTTACAGGAAATGTTAAGAAAAAAGCCTACTACAGCTTCCTGAACATACAGAATCCATTTCTATTGTTTTTAATACTTACAGCAAACACAAGCACTGAAGAAGACTTCAAGAAACAAGTATCCTCTTGTGTCCAGAATCATCCCAGCTGCTATAGCAATAATTGCCAGACCGAGATTCTGGATAGACTGCATACTAAAGCATAAACAAAGGATTAAATTTATTTTTAAAGAAAAACAAATCATTAGCAGCACTGAACAACCCATGAGATTAACTTCTCCCCATTAGTTATGACATACGACAGTCACGACTCCACATTTTTGCAGAAGTTTCTGTGCATCGACCACAACCACATGCTCTCCCTCACACACACATCCTGAAACTACACAAGACTTCCTGCTAGGCTGAATTTACAAGAACGAGTAACCATTAAGGTGTTAGAACTGTTTCATTTCAGTGGACCAACAGTACCAGGATATGGTCACTGTAGAGCAGCACAGACAGACAGACAGATCTAAGGACTTACAAGCCATAAGCAGTTCCCAGCTGGTGTTCTGGAACAACAAAGGCCACCATGGGCCACAGGGCACAGGCAAGCAATGAGTAAGCCACTCCTAGCAAACTCTGGTAAAATAAGAACAAGTAGACAGATGTTAGATGAGGTTCATTTTTGCTGTGAAGTTCTAACAAATGAACATATTAGCTTTCCCCTTCTCCCAAAAGAGAAAAAAAAAAAAAAGAGAGATAAAGTAACTTTTTGCAATATCGTTCTAAATAAATATGCATGTTTAAAGGGAGAGAGAACTTTTTCCAGCAGTGACCCACGAACTAAACCCTAACTAATTCGCATTAAAGAGCCTGACCTGAATACCCAGAGGAAAAGATCAATTCTGCAGCTCACTAGAAAACTACCCAAAACACAAGGACTCTATTATTAAACCCAAATACATTGCCAAGCACCACGTTTAAGTCTGTGAACCTTAGTACAAAAGCAATTTCTCAGGGAATCTGCCCTAGGAATGGGAAATCAATAACAGATTTTTATTGACGTTTACCACTATCCAACACATCACATTAGAGACAGTTTAATTAATAGCAATAAGCTTCAGAACTACACCAAAAGAACAAGTTTTTGGAGAAAAGCAAGCATCTAGCACAGCAATGTAGTAACAGTGAGCATAGGGAATGTTGGTGAAGCACGAAAGCAGATCTCTGCAAGGGAGCACCACCAAACCAGAGCTACTCTGATGAATCAAGGGACAAGGAATTGCCACTCCAGACACCCCTCTGGCCTAATCCCTTCCCAAGAAGCCAAATACCCTTTTGCACCAAACTACTATAGAATTACTCCTACAGACAGCAGCAGCCTGTCTTTTCCACCTCAAAACACACATGCATAACTACCGCCTCCCTCCACAAAACACCAGACTGAAGTGTTATCTGTAGCCTGCAGACAGCTCGTGTTAGCTTCGCCTGTATCACCCATTCTTTGCTTTTTCACTGTCTTCAGTTTTAAACTCAATTTCACACAGTGTGTCTTCCTTAAAGACAGGGACAGCAAAATCAGTTTTGAGGACTACCTAAACAGTCAGAAGACAGTGACAACTTGCACAGAATAATTCAGCCTCAACTCTATTTCTTATTTTATTCATATTTAGCCATAAAGCTCAGAGAATGTTACCATTGCTATCCAGGGGTTCCAGAAGGTAAAAGCCAACATAATATGAGAAGCAAGTGTAGTTATTACAGCACATAAAACCCAGATGATATTCTTTCCAAGTTTATCCACCAGGAGTCCAAAGACAGGGGACATGGGTACTGATATGATATATACAATACTACAAAAGAATAAAAAGAAGAGAATTTAACACTGTCTAGCCGTGACAGCTTTAGGTGTTACACAATACAAGTGTCTCCAGCTAAAACATGATATTCCCTTGTTACTGGTGAGGCCATAAGAAAAACCACACAAAACCCCACCTGAACGGACTCCAGAACTCAAAACTCCCCAAATGTCCAAGTATGTGAAAACAACCAACATCCAAGGAAACAGTGACATACTCTTGGAATCCTATACCAGCAAGCGTTTTGTTGTTGGCCTTTATTTGTTTGGTTTTCTGCCACATCACAAATTCATCTTCAAACTAGGAAAATTTAGTTCATTTAACGTTTCTATAAAATTGCTTCTGTCACTTAGAAGAGAATCACCAAACACCAAAATAATACCCTTCAGACAGAGCCTTTTCTCTCCAATTCCTCAATGTGGACATATAAGATATTACAAAATTATCCACACTTCCCAGTTACTCCTTGGGCCATGTGAAATCTAGCTATCCACTTAAACACAGGTCACCCACTGCAACAGTAGTTCCCAAACCTCCCACCACGTGGCCCAAACCCGAAGACACATACACCCCTAGAACACAGCAGTGGCACATTTACTTGTTCAATCAACCACAACATACCTGTTAATTGCACTTGCTTCTTGAGATGAGAATTTGAATTTCTCAATAAAGAAAACCCTGAGAGGGGGGAAAAAAAAAGACTTAGAAAAATGCACACTTTTATGACATGAAAGAAAATTTAAGCTAGATAAAGTGAAGACACAAGAACCCAGTTTACAGAAAATCTTTAAATATAGTTCTATAGCTTTGACACAAACATCCCATCACAGATCCTCATTTATAATGCATTTAGGAGCTGATTATTAGACTCTACAGTTTTGTATAAGGACTAGTCAAATTACACTTCGGAGAAAATATTCAAAGTACATAACCAGCACGTAACCCAAGAATGAGACATTAGCAATGAGCATACAGTAAGAGACCAAAGTGAGACTTTTTACAAAACATGTACATTTGGAAAACAGGCATCTGCACTGCTGACTGTGAGGTCTCTCCAAGTCACCTCAGACTTTTCCTTCTTGCTCAACATAACGCATGCATTGAGCTCAAGAGATCCCTTTCTAATTGCAAGTATATTCAAAACCCATCTGCCCCGGTGTGATGAGGTATGGTTCCTTCCTCCCCATCGAGTGACTTCACCAACCACTTGATAGTATTAAACTGGTGATACAAAAGTTCCGAGTCAATTATTGACTGCCCAGAGCCTGGCCCACGGGCCTATGTTGGGCGCAGTCCGACAGCTCGTAGGGGGGTGCTGGCTGGCTTAGATCTTACCCTTATTTGGAACTGGCAAAACGTGTCTAACAGCACAGATTTCTTTCGTGTCTGTGGGCACGCAAACAAGTCCTTTGGACTTGCGTGACAATGTGGTCACTCGTACCATCAGAGACCACACCGAATTGGTGGATGTTGGGATAAATTTGAGAGGATTGGAGTTTGTAAGGAAAAAAAAAAAAAAAACTATTTAAACCCAATTTGGTATTTGTAAAAGAGGAGATAGCAGTTGTAGTGGATGCAACCATTAGATACGAAAGCAAGACAACATCCTTAGAGGATGCTGCAAAAGAGAAAATTTAAAAATACCAGAATTTCGAAGATCAAATTCAGGAATTGACTAACACAACAACCATTAAATTCATGGGCTCTCCCTTGGGGGCGCGTGGCAAGTGGTACCAGGGTAATTACAAATTGTTGATGGAGTTGGGATTCTCTAGTTCTCGGCAAGACAAAGTTGCACATCAATTGTCTAATCGTGCATTATTTTCTTCTGTTGATATAGTTCACATGTTTCGTAGTAAAGTAAGAACTGTAGTGAATGTTTAATTGTATTATCACACTGTAGCTGTAATGTTTGTACACTGTATTACTTTCACAAATAATAAAAATAAAATGGTGGGAAGAGCCGACATGGAAGGATCGTAGAGGGATTAGATCAGGTGGGAAAACGATCAGAGTACTGGAAATCTAACACAGTAGGTGGGGACTTGTTCTTTTTATGACGCATCTTTAAAACTGGAAATTGACATTGATTATTGGATTGGACTAAATTTTTACCAGTTTGGACCCAGGTGGACAGGCCACCTATACTTCACTCGGAAAAGAAACATATATAAAATTATATGTGTTTGATAAATGAGCTATCAGATCGAGTTGTGTGCTTCAAAGGGGGACACTTACATATAAAAGCTTCAAGTATATCTATCAATGCTAGATATACACCCAAGTCAGCACCATAAGAGAACTTCGGTCTGAAGTTGTAACTACACTGAAGCCCCCACCTCGAACTCGGTCAACAGCTTATGAGTATGGAAGGAATTTACATGACTGCTGTCCACAGCTTTCCACACCAAAACTCATGCCACGCTTTAAGTATGTAGCAAGTTTTAATCAGGAAATGGAGCATGACTTATGCTTTTGAGTCCGGACCACTCAGCTTATGCTAAGCAATGGTATTTCCCACAAAGCTCAGCAGATAAGGAAGCTATGAAAGAGTTGTGTTTATTTGTATCACAAAAGTATGGCAAACGATGCCACAGAAGAAATGACAAACCACAGCTGGGAGAGCAGTGGCTCTGTAGCCATCTGGGATTCTTAAATATTAGGGAGAGTAAGGGAGAAGCGCAGGCTAAGTAGCTAGTTTAAATCCTTGGGTTCAACTGCTACATAAGTGGGAGACACTTACTTTCCAAGTCCAATGAAGGGAAAAACTGCTGCATAGTAACAGACACAGATTACAAATATAAGCCACAAGGACAAAGAGAAGTCCTTCACATCAGTTAGCTTAATCACTTCACCTGGAGTGGGGCAAGACACAATATTGTTTCAGTCAGTATGAGCACATCTGAAATTCATCCATGCTGAATAAACATTACAGTGATCACAAGTCACCACTAAAGCATATATTCCTGCCCCTGACTACTCTCTTATTTAAAGTTTACACAGTGAGAGTCAGTTAAGAATACAGAAGTGCTAAATCAACAGTGCCAAAGCCAAGAACAAATTGTCTCTCCCACATTACAAGTTGGATGTGTAAGTTCTCTAAAGCCTCTCAGAGTCTTATGCAGCAGAATTAAATACAAACCACTTTTTCAAGGAAATGTTTAATCAGCTAGCAAAATTCATGTCTGAAGCCTTGTATTATATGCTCTTACCTGGATCTCAAATTCAGCTCATTTTTAATTGGCCTAAGTTCACCCACACAGAAAAACCTCAGAACACCACACACTGACAGAGAAGAGCTGCGTATTTTTGCACACCTATTAAAGGAAGTAAGACCGATTCCAACAGAACCAAGTACCAGTGGCAATGGCACAGATCAAATTGGTGTGAACTGGGAAGCTCTCCACTTGCTTTGTAAATAAAGCAGATGACAGTGCATCTGCCTGTAAACTGGTGTTTAAAACCGTAAAACTTCCTACTGATACAAAAATGAACTAAAAATTATGATTTAAGCTCTAACTATGAAAAAGGTGTTAAGCAACAGCCACTGAATTACCTAAAATGCAAACCTGCACAGCGCACAGAGTAACTGGAAGGGTTTGCTCCAGAATTGAAGTTTGAAGCCCAGGGCCGGTTCAGCCACACCACTCACCCGTCTTCCCTTGCTCTTTACAAAGGAGCTTCTCTGCTCTCTTGTCCAGATAAGCCAGGATTAATGCACAGGCCAGTGAAAAGAGACACGTTAGGCCACCTGCAATAAGGCAATACAACATGTTTAGTTGTTGACACAAGTAATAATTTGGCTTTTAAGCACTAGTGTAGTCTACCTTTATATATCTAATACAAGCTAAGTTTAACACCACCTTGCGTTATGTATAAGGCTCAATAGCTGTACAACTGAATAAGCTGTAAATACTGAAGCATGCCACTGAGAGACGTCTGCCTTGGAGTACAAACACACAGCTACATTTATTTTATTTAAAACATTAACCACCACTCCCACTCAGCACAGCCAAGCTTCTTATCTGTACCTCGTAATAACACAAAGCCTGTGCCTTGTTACCAACACCAGGGCCTTAATATCCATGGCTCCGAAGGAAGGGAACACAGGTCCAAAGGCAGCTGAAATTTCACTTCTACACATCAGACGTCTACACACAAGCTTTGACATGACGCCCTTCAGAAAATTTTTCAAGTCTGCCCTTTACTCAAAGTATGTCAAATGTTTCACCTCCATAAAAGACAAACTTGAATTTAACAGCCACAGAACTCACCATTTTATCAGATGCAGTAATCATACACTCTGCACAAAAATATTAGACATTGATACAAACAGTATTTGAATTGCTCTTCTTAGTCTCAAATATATTTGTCCTACTTTCAAGTTAGTGAGAAATCATAAACATGTAAGCATGCTGTTCCAAGTTGGAAGCCTACAACAGCAGGTGACATCAATTCAAAAGATTACTGACCTATCATAAGAGTTAACCCAAGAGTACTGGGACCAGTGTACCCCAGAAGATCTCGAACTCTAGAGTATATCCATCCCATGATATTCATGTTCACTGTGCTCCCCTAGGCAGAACAGACTCATGTGAAGAATAATGTATTTCACAATTATACAAATTCAAAAGGAACATTAGGCAGACTGCTTATTGAACAGTGTTTAAAACAAACAGGTAAGATGCAACACAGGAACATAAACGATCAATGGTAAAATTATTCCCTCTTGGTTTGGTCAGTGTTTGTAATAAATTAACCATTGCAACAATAATATATTGTCACAAGCTGAAATTTTCTACAACTCTAACAGTGTTTCAATGGAGACATCGGAAGCACTGTAAAATCCACATCACACACTGTAGTAGCTCAAACCGAGTTGAATTTAACACCGCATGTTAAAGCAAACAGGATTCCCACCTCACAGCCATCAAGAAGAAGCACCTTTTTTGTTCCCCCCTTCTGCCTCTAGAGAAGGGATTCAGGGCTGCAATCCCAAAGCTAACAACAGGCAGTAACTACAGTTCAGCTGAGATTAGGCAACTAATTAGCAACAGCCTGATCAACCCAGAGCCAGCTGGGACAAGCTAGCTCTCTTCTCCCCGAGATAAATACCCGCAGCAGTGTAAGGTACCACAGGCTGCTGAAGAGGACCCCTAACAGGAGCAGCATGTCTCCACTCTCGTCATTCACAGCCTGGTGTATTAGTGTAAAACCACACTGGCAGCAGTTTAATTGATTGTATCAAACCAAAGCGGCACAGCTGAGATGCAGTCACTGAGTTCCTACCAGCAACAGGGACAAAAGCATCTCACAACAGCAGATAAGGATGGGAGTTTCTTAAAGCAGCCCCCCCAGCTCATTTATCAGAGCCTGCACTTAGTCCCCGAGTGAGCCACAAGCTACATTCCACTAAGGCAATATTTTATGACGTGCCAGGAATCAATTAGTCTGATGAAAGACAGCACTGGGACTGTCCCACCCAGTAATCTACACTAATAACACCACCAGCCTTCTGCAGAAGCTTGACAGGGTCTAAGTAATCTTATTAACCCATTTCCTTGTGTAGCCTTTGTCCATTTACCACAAATTTGTAACATTTTAACTTTCAATTTCACATCTATTTTTAACTAAAACTCCCCAGGGAGCATTGGGAATGCTGATTCTACCTGTCTCACCGCCAAGACAAGGCGCACAGCTTAAAGTCTAACAATTAAAGCTACACAGTTTGGCACTTACAATTCTGGCCATGCTTAGCTGCAATCCAAACACAAGATTTAACTCCTTGCCTTTAAACCAACTGACTGCATACGTGTTCTGTGCCACCGCTAAGGACTCTCCACCTATTCTAAAAAAGAAGGAAGGGACAAAAAGAAGCACGTTAATTGTAACATGCAAAGCAACACAGAAGCAGCCCATCAGCTGCTGGCAATACCAAGATGACAGTATTTCAGAGAAATTTATCTGTGTACAGGTAGATCTAATGTATATATACAAGGCAACAGAAGTCTTAAAGACAATTCAAAAGAGAACTGCAGTGTCTTAAGAATAATTAAGAGTATACGGTATCTTAAGCAGCCTAGGAGTGATTATAACTGCCTTTGGTCATTTACAGAAATGGGCAGCAACTTCTCATTTCTCTTTTGCAATAAAGAACCAAGTGGTATAGATTCTGACCCAAATGAAACCAAAAGCAGGCACCTTACCTGGAATCAGAACTTAATGGAGTCATCTGCCCACCCCCCAGTAAAGTTGGTCAGATTTTCTAACATTTTTATGCCGTGGCACATTCACAACTTAGATGTATTTCTTCTGACATTTGCTCTTATTTTTTGCCACCACAGGAGCCCTGTTGTTGTCATTGCTAAGAATTCTTTTTGCTCAGGAAAGCAAGAATTAAGAGAAAAGGAGGACTAAGTTTTATCAGCTTAGTGAATGTCTTTATTTGAATAGTTTCAGCATTTCTGAATTCAGTAAGACCAGCAAAATCCTGGGTTTTGTTTTTTAACTTTAAATTAGACAGGGAATGTGACAGAAGATCTTGGATGCCTCAACTTTACAAATGCCTCAAAACCCAACAATTTTGTCTGGGAGTGCAAACATGGTAGCAGTTCTCTAGGGCACAGAAAGACGGTCCTCACCTCAGAAAGCACATAATATGCTCTACTACACTCACCCAAATATGAATCTGCCCACGTCCATCAGCCAGAAAGCATTAAGTAGTGCTCCCAAAGCAAAAATCACCTGCCAAATAAACATTTAAGGAAAAATTATGATTTTATATTTTAAGTACGGAACAAACTAGAACAATCCCAAAACAGAAACAAACCCACTTTTCCCTTCCCAGACCTGCAGAAACACTTTACAGACACTTCCTACTCCTAGCTCCTAGCTTTTTGCCTTTGCTCCCTCCACCTTATTCATCATCCTGCTGGCTACAGGCTATCCAGCCTGGCCCACCCTGAAAGCACACTCAGAAAACACTTCTAGAGGTTCAAGTCATGCTTCACCTTTGTCACCACGCCCTACCCAAATACTTTTACATAATAGTTTCACATCAAAAGGTTCATTCACATTCTTATTTCACTCATCTTTCAAGGTCCTCTGTTCCCCGTTATACCATCTGGTCCCAACCACCCCAATAATCCAGTGTTCTCCCATTTTAGTTCTCTCCACCTCTCTACTCCCATTTGAAATCTCTCCCTACTATGCAAGAAGTTGTTTGGGCTTTTTTCCCCCCACCCCTGGCAGAGAAACTTCAAACACACATCATCCTTCACCCTCTCAACTGCACTTACCTGCCCGACACAAACAAAGATACTAAATATTACAGTGCCCAACCTGTAAAACAAATAAAATCACTTAATGTCTAGCTAAACTCTTTTTTTGCTATAAAATGCTATGCTGGACCTATAGCAGAGAAACAAGGGGAAGTTGATATGCAATAAAAGGTCTCTCTAATAAATGCTACAGTTTGACAGCTTCCTGCAAAAAAGGCAGCACATACTGGCATTTTTGAAGCCAGTTTATTTAAGCCATAAGGGAAGAAGGCTCATCTATACCAGTGGAAATTCCTATGACACGACAAAAAAAAAAACAAAAAAAAAAAAACAACATAGAAAAAGATTATTATAATCTTTAAAAACTTTAAAGCTTATACTTCACACGCACTTTAAGTTTACCATCTGCTGAACAGGAGTACCATGAACAGCATACTTACCGTATCCCAAATACTCTGTCTATCAGAAAACCTCCAAAGAAGCAAAGAACCACATTGGGCCAGGAATACCAGGCATAGAGTGCCATGAACTGAGCTGTGTTCACCTTCATATCCTACATGCAGAAGGGGGAGATTAAAAAGAGCAATTATCCCTCCCTGAGGTCATTACAGGGACACAGAGCAGGTATGGAAGTTGCTGGAAACGGGTATGTTTTCCAACCTGATTACTCCCTAGCCCCCCCCCCGTGACGCTGCTCCCACCCCAGGCCGCTACTCACCCGTTGCACCTGGGTCTGGAGAGCCGCCGGGTTGTCGTAGCAGAAGCAGCTGCCTGCAAGGAGAAAAGGACCCCTCAGCACCCGGCCGTCCCTCAGCACCCGGCCGTCCCTCAGCACCCGGCCGTCCCTCAGCACCCGGCCGTCCCTCAGCACCCGGCCGTCCCTCAGCACCCGGCCGTCCCTCAGCACCCGGCCGTCCCTCAGCACCCGGCCGCCCCTCAGCACCCGGCCGCCCCTCAGCACCCGGCACCCACCGAAGCCCAGGAAGCACATGAGCGTGAGGACGAGGAGGCGGTGCGGCAGGCGCCGCGGGTCGCAGGCGGCGGGCAGGGCGCGGGGGGACCCCGCGGAACCGCCATCGCCATCGGGGTAGCCGAGCAGCGACCGCTCCTCCTCCGCCGCCATCGCGGCCGCCGTCACGTGAGGAGGGCGGGACGCACACGCGACCGCGTGACTCCCGCCCGCGTCACGTGAGCCCGGCCCACAACGCGCCGCGGCCGGTTGCTATGACCGCCGGTTGCTATGGCGGCCTTCAGCCCCCCCCCCACCTTCCCCGGCCCAACGGGGCGTGAGGAAATCACCGAAATTAGACGTGCGAAACCCCGGGCGGTGGGTGCTACACCTCATGAGTCTCGCTCAGTTAAACCAGGTGTCAAAAAAACTCCTTAAAGCCGCACCCCTGAACGACCTGCTGCTCTGGTGAGGGCGTTAGCCAAACAAACCGCGCCCAGCTTTGCAGCCACGGCAAAACCGTGTGGAAGGGATGAGGCTGGCAGGGGGTTATTTCAGGTTTTAGCACCTACAGCCGCCTTTTCTATTTAAAGGCGATGTCATAGTCAAATGGTGAACGAGCCCCGCGGAGGAAGCGTACCTGTCTTGCCCCGGTTGATTTAAAATGTAAAACCAGGGAAATACCTTTGGCTTTTCCACGTGCTCCCAGCCTGGAAAACAAAACAAAACAAAAAAGTTAAAAGGTATAGACTGCAATAAGCCCTACAATAAGCATGCAAAGAAATGCAGATGTTTGTAAAATTTCTCCGTTACCCTCCATTCAGCTATTAAAGTCATTTCCTGTGAGATGTCTGGTTCAAAAAGGTCTTCCCATATTGGACAAACCCTTAAACAAGCGACTCATTCGCTGTAAAAACACCACTGCACCTGAAACGCTTGCTTTCCACTCAACATGTGTCTTTTAACAGATCTGTCATAAGAGAAGCATGTTATGAAATCACGGGGTCACATTTTCAACTGCCCTAAACCAGTCTTGTCAGAGCAGCTCTTTCAGGTTACTCTAGTTACTCTTTAAAACGTGGTTTTCATCTGCAAGGCTTCGTTGTAGAAGTACCCATGCACCAAACTTGGGGGTTTCGTTGCCGCTTGAGGGAGCTCAAAGGTAATGCGTGGACATCCAGATCACCTTCAGTTTCACAGGGGCGTCATTAAAGAGAGATGTTTTATATACACAGATAAAAGGGAAAACTTTGGAAAGTGAAGTTATAGCTAGCGAAAGCTCGTGTACAGAATATAAATGTAGCCTTTCTCTTAGCTAACTAGCTCAATTATTCCCTGAAACCACTGTCATATCACCCAGTACTCTTCTAGGTTTCTCTGATCCACGGAAAATGGTTTTTGTTCATGCACACACTCTAGTTTCCCTCCAGGACACAAATAAGGTTGTTGCAAAAGGCCAGAGTCCCCAAGCTACCCTCCCGCCGACATTCTCGGAAATAAAATGCTGAAAAACCTCAGGACTCAGCTGGATCCATCGTTGATGAAGGGGAAGGGAGCCCCAGCCCACTCTGTTCATGAAGCACAGAGCCAGAGTCAACAGAACTGACTTCTCCATGGCCCACAGCTGCTTCCCCAAGACCATCCTGCTCCATTTTGAGCATAACCGTGGCAATTTCAGACACAATATATTGTGGGTCAGGGAAGAAAACCCTCACTGACAAGACATGAACTGCACAGCCTACTCCATAAAATGATAGGTACCAGTTTCAGACTGTGGTACCCAGCAAAGTTAAACTTAACAAATCCGTAGAGTGCCAGAATATTATCATAAAAAAGATGTCCCTGTAACTATTTTTAAACATTAGTACAGAAGGCACAGGTAAATATAGATAATTGGTAGATAAAGCTGAAAGAGGTAACTGGCACGTACTCAGAGGTGCCATTTGAATGCTTTGTCATTGTCTTAAACAGTAGTACTTTGATTTTATTATTTAAACTATAATACTCTCATATCTATTTCAAATCACCTTAACGTGTAACTCGTATGGGCAGTGACATGATGTCGGCACTTTGCAAAAAGATCCCACGCAAACTGTCTCCTGTAACTTTTGATCAATTATATCAGCGAGGATATTTAAAGGAAGATCTAGAAAAATAGATTTTATCCTCTAAGTCTCAAAAAGGCTTTCTAGCCCCATAATCAAAATAATAGGCAAAAGCACATTGTGAGTAAACATATTAAACTGCAATTTCTGATGTAGGATGATAATATTACAGCCTGGATTCTGCTGTGGATGCCAATGGGAAGAATGGAAGTAAATGGCTTTCAGAGACCCTAAGGATATCCTCACCAAAGCTCTTGTTTGGTTGACTTCAATTAATCAATTAACTACCACCAAAAACTTCTGCAGTCCTTCAAGCTGACTTGTGGACCAGGATTTCATCCTGGGTACTTTTGTTGCAGTGCTTTATACACTAAAGGCCAAAAAAATACACTCTGCAAAAGTATGTTTGAGAGCTTCTGACAACCATGGCAGATTGTCTCTGCCAAGTACGATGACAAAGGCTTCCTGGAAAAAGAAACACTCAGCAAAGAGTATCATCTTGACTTTCTGCAAACTTAGCAGTAGGATTTTAAGCACTGCTTTCCCATCTTCTTGTCCCATTTTAGTTCATGTAAACCTGTGCAGCATTACAGTCCAAGTCTTCCCTACTATAAGAAATTCAGTGTGCCACTGTTGCATCAACATGTAACAAACATAAAAAGACAACTCCTTCCTTTTCCCGTAAAACAGTGAGACAAGGCTGGGTTAGCACATACGACCTTAAAGGTTGAATACTGTTTAGTTATCTAATTTTATTATTTAAACTAAAGAATCCTGGATTTGTCTTTTTTATTTAAGTCATTAAATTTCTTTAAGCTGTGTTACCCTGAAAACTTCATGATTTCATAATGTGTCTTGCTTTTTCTTGGCCTCTCTTTTGCCTCCTCTTGGAAGACCAGAGATCTGTCTGAATTCACTTACTCTGTGGTTTCCTCAGAAATAAATGCATGAGTGTTAACATCCTGCTCTGCCAGTGAAGCCTTGTTGTTCGTTCCTAATAATATCCATTACCTTATCACCGCTCTCCCACACTCTATTACTAATCATACAAAAATATGCAAAAATGGTAGGATTAAGCTATTTAAAAAGCTACCTAAAAGAATTTTTTAAATATTACTTTATGTTACTCTTAAGCAGGTTCCACTGAGCGTAATTAATTCTATATCAAAATAGCAAATGTAACGGTGGGAGGATTCTTCACATGGAGCACAGCCGCGGCAGGTTCCAGTACAACAAAGGGTTTCTGTGCTTTCATTCATCCTCGAGGGTGTTTTCATACATCTGAAACACATGAAATTTTATTATATTTATTTTCAAAGACGTCAGTGGGTTTTTCATGTTATTTTCAAGGCTGTGTGCTTAAATATTTCATATTAAACAAGACTGGATTTGTACTTTATCTTGTTCGATGTAACATAAGACTCTATAGTAGTGTAAGAAATTACAGTCATGTATCTGGAATATTTAACAGGAGAAAAAGAATATTTTTCCATTTCCTATTTCAGAATATTTGCCATGCCACCCCTTTCTTCCCAGTCACTTCCGTCTTCACCTTGGATATGACCTTGCTGTGTCTGAAGCTTAATGGCTGTAATGTGCTGTGTGAGTTAAGTCTGAGATGATTCTCAAATGCATTGCAGGTGAGTGTTTATGTCACAAATAAATACAGTAGATTGCTCTTAAACTCGTACTTTAGAATGTTTATTACAGATGCAATTTCTGTCTTAACATAAATCAAAGTACTTAAAGTGCCATATGATACCAAATGCTTAGTTTAACAGCATAAAATTGAGCAAAAACTGTATACAGTACTTTATAGGTGCTATAAAATTCTTGTGCTTGTGGCCTCACCTCTTTGCATTGCCCAGATCAATCAAGTCCACTGAACACTCTGGATAGTAAATACTCACGTGAAACAACGATTAGCTTTCAGAGTTTAGTTCTTCTAAGTTATTACTGTCTTCAGTGAAGATGCTTCAAAATATGACGAAATTGCAAAGAACCAGGAACTGCATTTAACATGATTAAATTTACATCACCATCACAGACTATTATCCATTCTCTGAAAGAAGAGTCTTGTGCTTTGCCTCCAACATGCATTAGCAACCTATTATGAAAGATCTGTCATACACAGGCATGCAGACATTTTTTTAATCACTTCATGAGGTAAGGAATGTGTTATTATAAAGCTCCCCATGTCCTGTACTCTTCCCATCCCACTCTAATATTATTGGACTTGTGTACAATCTCCTTAAGACATGTCTAATTTCTGTAAACAGCTGCAAAAAGGCTGAGGAAGCATTTTTGCACCATAAATCTGTCTGAGACCCAAGTGCTTGGCCTGTGGAACCTCCTGAGGTTCGAAAGGATACTCGGCCAAAGCCAACACCTCCTCCCCTCTCAGCTGAGTCAGACAACAAACCACAGTGCTGAGCGTTGGGGTTTTATTGCTCCTTTTCCTAAGTGCACTCATCAAGACTCTTCTTCATACTTCTCAAAATTACTTAAAGCCCCTAGATGTTTCCTAAGGCTGTATCTCTAACAGCCAAACCTGCTCAGGTAACGTATATAAAAAAAAATAACCTGCAGCGAGTGTGTAAGAGCATCGTTAATGACGTTCAGCCAAACCAGAACTTTCAGGAGGCTTTTTTTTTTTTTTTTTTAGCATTACTACCCAGGTTCTTTGCCCTAGCAGGGTGCAAAAACCGGGATCAGAGCAGGCTGCTAAAATACCCGCTCATTAACTTCATTCAGCTTCCTGTGAACAAGCCACTGTTTGAAATAACGCGGCGCAGGAGCCCTCCAACCCTTCACGGGCCGGTTCCTCCCTGGACCGCGTTGCCCCAGCTGCCGGCGTTCGCCCCTGGGGACCCCCCTCGCTCCGGCTGCCAGCACTGACCCTTCGTAAGGACGTGGCTGCTGGGTGCCTGCGCTCCCGTGGGCGCTGACATCCCAAAGCTGGGGGCACCGGCCACGGGGCTGCCCGAGCAGAAACACAGCCCTGGTGTAACTCCCACGCCCACTGCACACACACACGTAATGACTTCTCTCTAGAAATCACCATTTCTGCAGTGTTTTTCTGCTGTTCCTCACGGGCTCGTCCACCCAGGTGTAGTTTGGAAGCCGGCCCATCTCCCAGCTGCTGGGTCCAGTCGCTCTATTGCATTGCACTGGGAGGGCGCTTCCCGCTTTCGCGGCGCATCCCAGCGGAGACGAGAGGGAGCAGAGCTGGGTGGTTGCAAGCACCCTCAGGAGGACACTGCGTGGGCGCTCCAGAGCTTCATTCAGCTCTCTCATTGCTTTCCTGCAGCAGTTCAAAGCGTTTTTCACTTTGGAAACACCCATTGTGTCTAACAAGCCTCCTAAGGGAAAAAAAAAAAAACAAACCAAAACAAAACAAAAACGTTTATCAGAGGTTGCTTAGCATGCACATATGAGTCTGGAGCCAAATAATAAAGTGTCTGAAATGACTGAAGCACTTACTGGGTGCTCTGTCAGTGAAAATATGCATTCTCGTAGCATTTCAACATTTCTAAAAGTCTACTGTTTTCTTTCAGCGGGATGTACATGAAGTATTTTATAACCAAGCCCAGCAATTTCGGAAGGAAGCTTTGATATTGAATAAAATGCTGGAGGTTGGTGCGACACGCTGCCACCACCGCCGCTCGCTGCCCTGGGAATGAAGGAAGTTCACACCCCTGACAAGGGTTTTGTTTCTCTCCCTCTGGCTGAAGCCCAAGTGCAAGCGGTGCAAAGGCGCTCTTTGTCACCCGGGCGAGACTTTTCATTCTTCTCAAGTGAAAGCATATAGAAACGCAGAAACGGGTGGGAGAAAGGAGCTGATCCCCGCTGACTCCACTGCAGGCCTCGCAGTGTGCCCTGAATAGCCCTGTAAGTCTATAATGTGCGTAGTTCACGGCACAGATATCATTCTGTTCTTAAACTGAAGTGCGTTAGGACCGCCCAGTAATTTGGCTAGCAGGCTCTCCTACATGCCAAGTATCCAGGAAGAACCTCTCCTTTCTAACTGCAGCAGAAAGCCTCCCGGTGTCCCCACCTAGCTCTGTATTTATCTCCCCTAGTTACTCGTATTCCAAAAGCAGATCTCCTGTCAAACTCTCTTTTCCCACCTCCCCCCCCCGCAAGGCTGAGTATTTTATGCACCTCAAGCAGTTCCTCATCAGGCATTTCCTCCGCCCTGAAGTTACTGAACTTTTCTGGAGAGGTTCCAAGACATGGGTAAGGTGGGTTGTTTTCTTTCCTTCTCTCTCTAGGCTACAGCCCAGAATTGAGCAGAACTTTCCAAGCAAACAGCTTTATTCAGTGGCACCACTGTTCACTGGAATTGTGATTAATTCCTTTGCTGATACACCAGATCATTCTTTTCCTTTCCTTGGAAATGAATCCTTTCACCTTTGTGCAATTTGCTTCTCATCATCTCTCCTAGGCCCCAAATCCAAGGAACTGCTTTCCACTTTTGACCCGTAAGTGTATTTATTTGAAGCATCTCTTCCAGTGTACAACCTTCTGTTTGAGGCCCTATTTATCACGGTACAACCTGCTGCAGAGTACGAGCTCTTTCCTGATAACTACAGCCCCACTTTACAGGCGCTCCTATCCAGCAACTGTTATTCCAGGAGACACTCTGCCGTCAATTTTTGGTTTCCTGATTTATGGTCACTTCCCCTTTGCTCCATGGCTTCAGCTTTTACATGAATTCTTATTCTAGCTGCAACACTTTTAGCAAGTGGGGCAGCATAAGTAGATACTTTATCCGCTGCAGAAATTCTCAAAATTCACTGATCTTGCGTGATTGTCCACAAGGAGCGGCAAATAATCAAGACAAGCATGATGTAGTTTCACCTTTTTCTTTAAAAAAAAAAAAAAAAAATTCTACACCTGTAGTTGACATGGTCATGTTAAATATTCTTATTGGATTGAGATCTTTAAAAATAAAAGAAATACAAAATCAGTATCATTCCAGTAATTCTGAGTTATCTCCATATACCCGGCTTTATCTCACAGTACGACGTTTTGCTTGGTTTCATGATGCCAAGAAAGTGATACCATGGGAAAAAAAGTTACAAAATGCTCTCATGTAGAAGAAAAAAAGAGGAAAAAAATAAAAAAGAAAGAAAGGCAAAATTCTTTCCTCATTGGCAAAGAATTGGAAACTAGCAGTTTATCTACCTGGAGAGGGAAGGAAAAAATTTCCTAAACTGATAATGAAAAATAAAATGAGGACCAGATAGTCTGCCTAAGCATTTGCTAAAGTAAGGGGTTGGAGAGGGGGATGAAATGCACAGTTTTCTTTTTTACTTTCCTTCAAAGAGTGAATGAAAAATTATTCTGCACAGCAAGAAAATCACTTGTAATATAATTCAGAAAATATATTGTTTCCTTTAGAAGCATCTTGCTCAACACTTGATTTCACATTTTCATTCCTTAGAGATTACAATTCTTTGCATTTTTATATCTCTGAGTTCACCACCTTGTGGTTTTGAAGTACAAACAACTTCATAAATATTATTCATAGCATTAGGAAAAAAATCGAGTAGATTCATGTTCTTCCACATAAATGACAAGTGAATAAATACAAGTTATATGGGTGGCTAACTGAAATATTGCACTGACGTTTCCTGGCACTATAGGCATATCACGCTTGCTATACACGGAGGTATTCAACGCTGAGTAAACGCATCTTAAAGTTAACATTACCCCTAGGCCAGAGTTTCGGTGACAGGTCACTCAGCGAAAGGTCATTCCAGCTTTGTTAGCGTGGAAAATTTTACCTGATCTTAAAACACTTTGTTTCTTACGAGACCTGCAGAATTCACCTTCTTTCTACAACATCAGGACAGGTGGCGAGGCTGATTTAGTGGCATGCACGCACACTTTCATTGTATATGTTCTATGCTTTTAATATATAGTTACGTGTATGCCCGTAGTTGGGATGGAAATTCTATATATTGCATACATTCTGTCCCTCCCTCCCTCCTGGCCAGGGCTGGGGCTGAGCAGAGAGGGGCTGCGCTCCGGACCCCGCTGCCACACGAGGTGCCCGCCCTCCCTCGACTAGTGCAGGTAGGAAAAATCACGCTGCAGCCGTCACCTGTTTGCAACCGGAGTCAGACCTACCCACAGCAAAGCGCATTTCTTCCTGGGCTCTGGGTGGTTCCTTTCAGGAAGGAGAAAAAGAACAAAGACTTATTTGAAAATAACCTTATCTGAGCGTAAGCAAATGGGTGAAGCAAAAGTTCTGGGATGGTTCTTATTGGAAGTTATGCTTTGCTTGCATAACCTTTCACTTACAACTTGTTTTATTTGTATATTAATTTCTTCCATTTAGGCAAATCCTAAATTACGTTTGCTTCTGAACACCAGCAGTAAGGCAGCACAAGAAGAAACCGATCCCAGTGGCATGGGAAGGCTACGACCTTACTTCCTGCTTCCATCAGAAATGAAATTCCCAATAACATTAATATGTAAATTACCATAACTGGACAGATAAACCGTGACCGCAGTTAGATGAGTAAGGCAAATCACACTACGCAGAGCTGGCTTGGGACATCTCCTGTGGCCTCTTTTGATTACGCACCGTTCAGACGTGCAGAGACCCTTCTGAGCTACAACAAGGTGTTTGCTCTTTTTAAACAGAGCCCAAGACTGAGGAGAAAGCTAACCTTCAGAGAAGAGCTCACGCCATGCGGGCTCCTGGATGGGAAACTCCCAAGCACTCCTCTCTGTCCCTTGAACGTCCCCGGTGCTCCCCATTGGAGGGATGGCTTGGAAAGGGCTTGTACTGGCTTCACCCATCCCGAGCTGCCGCAATTCCTTCTGTCTCAGGTGCTCCACGTGGAAGTGACTGCACGCTCCGGCTTCAGCTTCCTTCCCTGCCCTGCCTGCACCCCACACAGAGCTTGGCTGAACACCAGCTCGGTTCTGAGAGCTCCCTTGCACAGCCAGTGCTTTGCTCACACACACCTAGCCCAGGGTCTGCGTGGCAACCATTAGATGAAGTCTTAGTTTAAAAGAAACCAAAGATCAAAACCCATGTTTTCTTCTTTTCTCTTATCTGGAAAGCAAATGCAACATTTTTTTTTCTGGAAACTTGAGCAGTCTGTTCATGTGACATATCTACACTGAGGGCCACAACCACAATGCATTCAAATAAAATACAAGGCAGTGAACAGCTGTGACGCTTCTGTTTCAGATATCTAACATCTAACACCAAATGCCAAGCATACTGCTTTGTAAGATTATAGGGAAAGTAAAATGGAAAGAGAAAACCGAACTCAGGAAAGGGAACAGATAAAAATCCTGCTTTTGAGAATGACACCAAGTAAAAACATCCCATCCTGGCCACCACACAAGATCTGGAGTGTTCGCTTCCCTTGGCAAACTGTATAAAATCACACTTCTCCCAGCTTATAGTTACGCTCTAAACAATAAGTGCTTTGGGGCAGGCTTAGGCTCCGAGATCTCCAACTAAATGCCCTGCTACCCAATTTACATAAGACCTGCTGACGAACAACAACTGACTTGATTTCTTTGGGGAATGCGTCCCTCGGAGTCTTTCCGAGCACTGGTAATGACTGTGTTATTTTGGATGGCTTTTCTGTGCTGCATGGGAGTGTTCACATCACTAGAAAAAGAGAAGAAACAAACAATTAGTGCTTTCATAACTTCTTAAGATCTGATTATTCCAGGGAATTAGAGAGTCAGTCGATCCACTGGAGGTGAGAGGGGCGGAACAAGGCACTCGTGCTGTGGAGGAGGGGTGGCACCACTGAGCACAAAGTGTCCATGCTTCCTTCTCCTCCTGCAGCCGAGCTGCAGGCACAGGGCAAACCTCAGAAAGGAGCCACGACCATATGTTTTTTTTTAAAAAAGGAACATTTTGCAATGACGTTTTTAATGTCATTAAATTTCATAAAAGGTGACATTGGCCTTGGTCATTCCTCAGCCCAGAATAGCATGTATATACTTCCCAAAGGTTACATTTTTCTCCAACAATTTAGTCTTGGATCCTGAAAGGCACCTCAGTGTGACTGAGGAACTAGACATGTATGTCTGAATAAGATTTAGATGTTTTACTGTTTAGATGTAGATGTTTTAGTGAGCAAATGTCCCAACTATTCACACTGAGAAAAAATATAGCTTTGATAGTCAGGTGCTCAAAATCTGTACCGCTTTAGAGTCAAAAATCTCATTTTCCAAAGTGAGTTCACATGTACCAAAGTCACACGACAAACTAATCAGAATTCTTCATCTTTGTCTAAATTTTTGCCTGGAATCTACATTTTCAAGTTTTCTGTTCCTTTAAAGGCTGCCTGTTCCTGGGCCCAGCTCTGACTTCTCTTGCTGAGCATTGATCAAATTCTTCTCGGTATATTAGCATGCTCAAACAGATCCGTTATGGTTATTAGAAGTATTACACATGCCAAAATATTTTGACTGGCAAAATGAAAAAAACGTTTCCAGCACCCCCAGATCCCCGTCTGCTGTAAGCCTGGTGAAGAACTGGCACTAACCAAAATTCCATTGGAGGTTATTACCACTACCAGATTGGTAATTTGGTAATTATTAGGAAGCGCATCAGCCGGGGCAGAGGTGCGGCCTCAGAAATCCCCAGGGTGAGGGGTGGGATGCAGTACTGACCCCGGGGCAGCAGCGATGCTTTAGCTGAGACACGTGTGACCCACGGCACTTGTGTGCAGCGCCTGGACACGGGTGGGGTGAGCGCTACTTACTTGCCGCTGAAAATTACTTTGCTGCACAGAAAAAGGGAAAGCAAAGCCAGGAACTCTGCGAGAAGGAGTCTGCAAAAGAGGCTTTTGGGGAAAATACAGCCTCTGGGTTTAGGCTTCCACGCTGTCAGGCTTTGCTTTTTCATTAATGTAAATAACAGCAAAACAAAGCACCTCAATATAAGCTTTCACTCAAGAGTGACTCTTTATATGGCTCCTCCATAAAGGACTCTCCTGCCTCCATCCCTAGCTGTCCCAACATCATTTCAGCTTCTAGGCCAGTCTTTCCCAGTCCTGGCTCCCATTTTACTGCACTTCCGGCTCAACGAACAAGAACCAAGTTTTTTATAAATTTCTTATACTGACACCTGAAAGAGCAATGCTGCTCTCAGCACATTCCCAGCCTTGATTCCCTGGGAATATTTCCCACAGACAGCCTCACACTCTGGGTCCCCCATGGGAAAAGTCATTTTGCTACAGATCTGCAGGGCTGGGATTTTCAGGGAGGTGGTGTCACGGATGTTACACCCAGGAGATAACGTTTTGACAGCCAGCCCTGGCCCCGGCGCGGCCGTGGAAGGTGTCCAGCAGCGGCGTGACGCCCAGCAACCTGCCCCAAACACCCGAATGCTTCCAGGAAATGGAAAAGAAACACAATGATTTTAACAATCCTTTCACAGGTCCCACGGGACTGGGAAGAACTGGTGGATGAATCACTGCTCGCAACGCATGTCTTCAAGGAAGTCAACAGAAAAATAAATAGGCTCCAAATGTCATAATTGGCTCCCTGCGGGGCTGAGGGGGACCCTTGGCTGAAGCCTACAACCATGTTTCTGCCTACAGCCGTACCACCCCGATCTTAATGCACACAGCAACTGGCCTGGAGTGTGAGCAGAGGGTCTGTAAGAAAAGAAACAGTGTCCGGCAGTAAACGGTCTTGCTGACGCAGCATGATGTGTTGAATCTCTGTGCTGTTGCAATGCTTTCCTCATTTACGTGTGCACCGGGTACTCAGCAAATAGATTTAGTAACCAGGCATTGTTAAGATATGCTCCTCCTCCAAGATTTAATTTGTATGCTTACTATTAATATCTGCCACAGTGATCCTGCGGTTTCTGTGAGTTAGCACTAAATGTTGGTCCCGAAGTGACAATTTACTGCTGATGCTGTTGTCTTAGGACAAGCCATAAAGCCCAACAATGGTTCACCAAAAGTCCAGCTCCCAAACAGAAACGTACTCCTCGGGCTTGTCGGATGCTCCCGCACGCCCGCCTGAGGGGCTGCTGAGCAAGAGAGGAGGGTAAAACCAAAGAGTTTGTGTCTGCAATTCCTTTTCTGTTTATGAAACAAAGCTGCTTCATAAACAGGTCAGCTTTGATTTAGTCTGAGAAAAGTGTACTGCAGCCTACTTCAGAAAAATGCAAAAATATCCAACATCTTTTTCAAATCTATGGTTTTATTTAATTAGACAGATAGATCGGGGAAACCTGAATTGCTTTAACTGTCAGCAAGACTGTCCTAAACTCATGCTCCCTCTTTACTTTGCTGGCAGATGGAAACAGCAAAAATTCCTGAAGGGAAAAAATTCATTTTCTTTACACTTCACAGAACTAGTGGAAAGTATTATATGCTGCTATTCAAGATGGATTATAAATATCTCAATAGGTTAGATTGTACCTTTGCTTTCATATCTAAAATTTTGTTCCTTTCTCAAGCACTCTGATGACCCCGTGACTGAAAGCGAGCTTTTAGGAAAGGACATTGTCACACTAAATCCTCACAGCACAAACCTCATGAACAAAACAGAGAGGAATTGTATTGGCAGATATAATTGCACAGTGTCTGACAACGAATATAAATAGACACAGCTACCTACAGATTTGACAATTAATATCTGTAGTATCTGATATATATAGATATATATATACACATATATGTATGTCTACAAACATGCACAAACATGTATGCAGCCCACACCAGTGTCACACAAACTGTGGACCAAGATCAGGTGCTATATCACGAGTTAAGGTTTTTATAACTTCTACTCTGACAAAACAATGATTTTTTCCTGTGATAAACAATGAACTTTCTTCTCAGGAGAGTCAATCAGTAAGAGATGGGCTACGTGACTTCCCTGGGTCCATTCCCATCCCACTGTCTGTGATTTCTGGTGTTGATCTTCCACCATCTCATATTTTGAACAGAACAGATTTCTCATTTAAAACTTAAATTTCAGTGATGGCAAGTGATAATACAGTCTTCTAGATCAAGCACCTTCATTATTTGTATAAGGAAATGTTTTATACCATTCTTACCATGAGCAGTTAGATAATTCCTGCTAAAAATCTGTTTGAGTTAAGAGCAGGTGCTTGTGACTTGTTCACTGGGATAGCCAGGCATTTCCTCTCTGGATCAACAGGCTGTCTTCGTAAGTGAGCTATTAATATCAAAACCCCCTCCATTTTATGTGTCTTGCTAGGAAACAAGTTTTTACGCCTAAAGCAAATTTACTTTGCTCCTAAAATAATGCATTCACTACAAATATGCAAAGTTGCTTATTAGAATCCAGAAGGCTAGCAAAAATAATTCATTAAATACCTAAATCATAACAGCGGCATAATCTCAGCAAAAACTAATCTATTCCAGTAGATTTTGGTTTTCTGGCAAGGTTGCATACAGATTTTTTTTTTATTTATTTGTCTTCACCAAAAGTTAGCAAGGACGTCTAATTTGTAACATCAGTTGTGAAAAACAGCTGGAGGCCTTTCTTTCTGCCTTCCAATGCTGCGTGTTTCTTTTGCCTTTCTATTCCTCATTCCTCAGTTATGGTAGAACATGCAGATTTGAGAATTCACCCTGCCATTACAACCAGACCCCTGAGCAGTGCCAGTGTTCACAAGGAGGCACTTGGACAACTGAGTCTTTTTTAAAAAAAAAAAACAAGGTCACAGGTCACTGATTTAATACTACAAAACCACATAATTACACTGGGCTCCACCCAGAAGGCTGACTGAATGCTCTGTGTGAGTAACACCAGGTGTAATCTGTAGCCTCCTGAAGTGACAAACGCTCAGGGTGCAAAATGGGAATTGCATTTATGCCCACAAGGAAATGTGGGTTAGAAGTACCATCCTCCCTGCTTTTGCTGTCTCCAGTGATGTATTACTCAGCAAAACTACATTGCTCTCACAAGTGCTTTATAAAATCTCCTGCCTCCTCCTCTCTGTCCATTAACACATTTTGCCTTACCTGCGCTTCATCTGTGCAAACTGGCAATTGCAGTCTGCGCAGGGCTGAGCACTGGCTGCTGAAAATGCTCAGCTACCACTGAAGTACTTTCTTTTTCTCCATCTCTGTCTGCAGTTTGTGCATTATGGCCAGGTTATAACAGTTAAAAATACATGGTTAACCTTCTAAAGAAAGCCACCAGAATATGGCATAGCAGAATACAGACACCAGAGCAATAAAGGAACTTGTATTCAGCTTCTCAATTTAAATCATGGCTGTGCTACATCAAGTTATTTTGGAAAACACTTTAACTCAGGTCAGTACAAAAGTCCAGCTATTAAAATTAAAATTGATCTATTATTGTATAGAAGCCAACATATAGCTGACTTCTTGAACCTAATCTCCTGCTTCCCAAAAATGTGAAGAGGAAAAATCCAAGTATGCAAGCAGCAATGTTTTTATTCAGAGTGAGCATTAACAGTATATAACCAAGCATTAATTAGAAATTAAATTGGAAGATGCTGCTGAGAGAAATCTGCTGTTAAAAATTAGCCTGTCTCTGTCATAAGCAGCAACTTATGAATGCATTAAGTGAATCTTGGTTCTGTTGCGATTTCACTGTGCCCTTCAAATGTTATCACTAGAATATATATGTTTTTAATATTGATAACAATTACCTTATCGAAGAGGCTCACGGAACCAGAGGCCAGTGGTGTGGTGGTGGAGACAAGCCATAGGTTTTGCCAGAGGAAGGAAAAGGCCTCGGTGGCAATGGGAGGTCACCAGCATTTCCCATGATTGTGCTTTAAATACGCTCAGCATTCGCACCCCTGCTATTGTTTTTCACATTCACCTTTGGAAGGAGGGTCAGCCAGGGCTATTTAAAAAAAGTAAAACAAAACATCAACATAGATTTGAGCTATCTGCATGGAAAACTCTGCAATAATCGTCATGTCTTACATAGAAAAAAGTAAAAGTTCTCCCTCTTTTTCCTTTAGACAATAATTTCCCTTAAATCTTCTAGATTTGTTTGGACAAGACCAAGAATGGACTACCCTCAATTAAAAATCCTTTCAAAAGGAAAGGGTGGATGCAATCACAGATTCGGGAAGGAAATCTTAACCACAATATTCACAGCAATACTTCAATCATGTGTTACACCTCTGTCAATATATACATATGAATTTTTTTTTTTTTCATCATATACATGTGGTAATATGTTTTGTTCATGAACACATTACAGATCTGAAGCCCAGTCCTACCTAAGAGAAGATTATAGCATCAGGATCTTAAGCTGGCAGCAAATCATTTCATCTGAGATGTCCATACAAATACTTCAGCACATTGTAATAACAACTACCAACACTGGTATCAGGAAGAATAAAATTCCACAACTGTGAATGCATTTTTTCTTAAAAAAAAATAGGAAAACCATCCTGAACCTAGTTTTACTTTGTAACCCAAACCCCACATCCCATGCTAACATTGATTCAGTATAGACAGTTTGACATTAAAAAGCAACTCCTGCAAAAGAGGAAAATGGCATCAAGTTTTGCTTGATGTATCACATACAGTTTCTCACCAGAACTTGCCCCACCTCAGGCTTCCACTGCTAATGGATTAGTGTCAGCAGGAGAAGCAGAGATCTTCCAAGATAAAATATCAAATTTGCATCTGTAAAATATATTCATTTGGTTTCTGCCATAAATTGCATTTTCTTAAAGACTTGGGAGGGTATCAAACCCAAATCCCTGACAGTTCAGTTTGATTCAGTGAAACAGCAGAATAATTTCCCAGATCACATTGTATTCCCTGTCAGAAGAAGCTTAGCTAATGAGTTAGATATATTTTGCTGGTGATAACAAATGCAGTGCTGGAAAGGCTGGTCACCAGGTGAAAAATAATAATAAATTGCAGGAGAAAGCTAGTGACTGCTCAGTGCCATTATGTTTAGATCTAGATATGAAAAAAACAAAACAAAACTACAACCAAACCCAGGTCTGTGGTTTGTGCTGGAGCTGCGTATAAACACCTCCTGCTCTATACTCTATACTAATATGCCAATCATTTCCACGGAAACTGATGTAATATCACATTCCCCATCAGTAAAATATCAGTAAAAATCCATAGAATTCTTAGGTCTTGATGTACCGATCTGCTGATATGTAAAATTAGAGACAGGGTGTAGATTTCCCAAAAAACCTGATAAGATTTGTTGAACATTTGAATATACCAGAGGCTTATTTTCCCAGACCACAACTACCATTTAGGCTATACATGACATTAAACATTTCCCATTTTCATCTGCTCTTTTTCTCATAAGAACTCCTAACATAAAGGAAAAATGCTAAACATTAGTGCCCACTTCAGCATTTTTGACCAAATACATTAAACTTTTTTTGCATGTAGCAAGAGGTGACAGCACGAGTGATCAGCTCACTGTTGTAGCGCGATGCAGCATTCAGCTCATGGCAGTGGAGGTTTGCCAGATTACACAGACCCACTTAAATTTAACAGCAATGACAGTGAACGAACTTTCTCCTTGTAGTCTCTCCAGCTGGAATTAATGTTGCTGAAAATGACTGTTTAGTGCTCCTGCACTGTTCTTCACAAACTGTTTTTTCCTTGAGCTTTAAACGGCTGAAAGTCTTTTAGTCAGTCTTATTACGGGATCAAAGCCACCGCTGAGCTCATAGCTTTCGGTTGTCACTTGGATTTTTTTCAGTAAAAACAGTGTTTCAGTGACTGTAATGCTCATGAAAAGTACCACATTGGCCACGCTGAAGTCTGCGCCATGTAAGTGATGTTATTTCTCCATATTTTCTTTAATCCTTAAACACAACAGAGAGATTTCCATTTTGACTCCACCATCATCCTGCTGATTAAGCCTGACTGCACAATCTGGAGAAATACATACAATAGCTCCTATACGTTTACATGAGGAAACAAGTACATATTTGTCAAACAGTATGACTAATCAAGAAAAAAAGATCATTTTCACAGAGTTCTGGGAACATACAGTGATGCAGAAAAGGACAAAGAAGGAATTATTCCTAAACAGAACCAAGAAAATTAGATTATCATGAAATGGAACAATGATAAGAAAACTGTCACTGACCAATGAGAGATGTACTGAGAAAACATTAGCATGTAAAGGACTAATTCATTAGTATGTAAAGGACATTTTATATATATATATATATGAATTACTTAACTGGAGACAGTTGCTCTAATGATTTTATTCCATAATAATTCCAAAATACAGTTCCAGGTTATTTTTTAAGTCATATAAGTAATACCTACAATAACCAGATATGACCCTTACAATGGAAAAAAAAAGTCATAATATGGTTTTAGAAGATCCTGAAGTGTAAGCTGCCTTTACTGCTATCAGGGTGGTCAATCTGCTTCAGGGCTGTGTCATCCAGTGTTACAGGAAACCCTGCAGAAGAGTAAAATTAGCAACCTACAAATTGTCATCACACCATGTTATAGGTGTGAGGTGAAAACTGGGTAATATATTTACTAACCTAAATATGGATTACAGTATCTGACTTCGAGCAAATTAAAAAAAAAAAAAAAAATAAGTACAAAATTGAGTGTGTGAAGATAAAACGCCACACATAAATCAATTAATCTCTGAAATGTCTCCCTGGAACAAAACTTCTTACCAGAGAATTAACAAGTTCTACCTGCTTTCCAGCCTAGATAACATCCCTAGCTAACCAAGGGAACCGTTCAGCGAGGTGTATTTTTCTGTGCTTCATCTTTTATCTGACAGGTGTCAGAAATTATGAAAAAAAAAAAAATTAGGATCACCTTTTAGGTCTGTCTGCCCAGGACGGTCTGTTCAGGAGTGACAGCGTAGGATTGTCCCCAGCTGTGCTTCTGACCAGTGTTTTGCCTGTTTTGGCTTTCAGTTAGACGAGCCAGGGCCCGTGCAGCTCAGCATCCATGGCTCCGAGGGAGAGCAGGCCCCTGGAGATGGGCGCTGCGAAGGACGGAGAGAACAGCGGTCGCAAAGGAGAGGACACACGGGAGGATGTAGTGAGCAAGACATGGCAAATGTGTTTCCTCTCATTGTTGCTTCTGCTGGATCCTTTCAAACACGTCACCTTGCAAGAAAGATGGTTTGTGATACAATGTTGTGGAATTTAGCATAAGAATTCTCTCATTTGTCCCCACCTTACTTGAAACACTAACTGAGCCATCTTTCCCCTATTGTGCAAATATTTAATGCCTTGTTTAAACATTGTGCAACTGAACACTTAAAAAATTATTGTTCTGTTGCAATAGTTATTTAACAGTGACATACACTGAATCTTTATAAAACCAGTGTCAAAAAAAGCCGGTATTTCAAGGGGATTTTTACTGCTATCAACTATGAGTAAATGTTAGCCTCAAACAAACTGAAATAGTGTGGGGCGAGGGGGTCGTGACTTGGCATCCATCTGGATCTGCCCAGAGGAATTTAACATAAACAGTGCTTTAGAGGCTCCATTTTGGATCCCATCTTTTGGAGATTTGATGCACTCTCCAAAGACCTCTGGAGAGGCAGAGCGGCTGTGAGAGCCGTACAAAGGAAGGAAAGACCCTAACCAAACATCACAGCTCTGCCCAACCTTTCAGCTGAGTTCCTCTGTGGCAGCTGTCAGTAGTATAAAATACTCAAATAGGTGTGTTTCCTATCAGCATTTCATCTCTAAGAGGGTGCTTTAATTTCTGTTTATTTTTAAACAAGCCCGAGCCTGTGTCCAAGATCCATTTGTTACAGTTTTACAAGGCAGAATTGTGATTTTGGTTTATTAATAGGTACTATTTGTTGCTTGTGTTTATTCTTGGCTCTGTATGATTTTATCTCACTGGGCATGTAAGGGATTTGTTTGCTGGGGCCAGTCTATAAACTAAGATTTCTCTGTTCCATACCTGTTCCATAATCAGAAGAAAATTATCCAAATAGGTTAGCGAAATGTTCAGTCTCCTTTTAATGCTAGAATAGCAGTGATAATAATCTGCAGTGATTTACTCCCCCAGGTTATAATAGATGGCCTTTCGCTTTTCTTGGGCTTAGCTCATTTCAAATATACTCCAGTTTTCTAACAAAATACAATTTCTGATTCCATTATTCATTTCTTAAATTTAGCCATCTGCTATAAGGCCATCTCATCTCTCAAGCCCAGCAGCCCCCCAAGCAAAGTCCATCCCAAGAAATACCCTCCAAACCTTCCCTATTGACACGCTGGGCAGCTTACTTTTCTGCCAGACAGACTCCAGAGATGCTGGCACCGCCACACGCGTGGCATCAGTCTTGTATTGATGTACTGTCTTGTACAGTTCTTAACTGTACGTTGAGAAACTAAAAATGGCTGTAAATGCGGTAAATCTTAGCTTTGGTGGCTATTCCCTGAGGTAGGTGACTTTAAACGCGGTCCTATTATGCGATTCCCTCAAGAAAACCCTGAAGAATCAGTGGTGTGTCGCGCATTCGTCGCTTGAAACAGCTGAAGATGCAGCCAGGGACACGCTGTTTCATGCTGAATTCCCCAGGCCCATACGGTGCCTCCAGTAAAGAGAGAGGGTCCCAGTTGCAGGTGCTCTGCGTTACTAGAATCAACGCTAGCACATTTATACTTCAACCACTGCTAGGATTTGGGGAAGTAAAATAAAAGAGGATCCTGTAAGTGCTCATGTGCTTGAGAATTTTTGTGCTTCTCTGTTTCACCAGGTTCACAAAGTTTTTTTCTGCACTGACACGTTTGACACTGGAAAAGGTATTGATTTGATACACTAAAGCTACAGCAGATTGAACGAAATGCCATGTGGCTTCAACCACCTTAGGAAAAGAGAGTACAGTGGAAGATTAAAGGTGATTTACACCATCAAACATCGCTTTTGAAGAGGAAGGGCCTCCAAGCAACAAGACCAGAAGTCCTGGTGGATAGTTCACTGGAAAGGTTTGCCAACAGCACAGGGGCGGTTAAAAAGCGAGCTCTGAAGCTTACTCGTGACCGTTTCCATTTCACAGGATGTTGGTATGCATTTTAAAAGCAATCTAAAAATACACAAATTAATGAAAACAGGTAGCATCAATCATTTTGCAGATTTTTGACCAGAAGGGGTTACTAGATGTTCTTGACCGAGATATTGCAGAGCCTACATGTCAAGTGGTATTCCTCTACTGACCCGAGTGGCATTTAGTGATGGCTTTCAAGTCCTTTCACTTTTCTTCATTTCCTGGCCCTAACAATTCTGGTCAAAACCAATCCCATAAGTTTAACAAAAGACCAAGTCAAAGGCCTTGAAGGTAATTCATGTTGCAGGGAGTATTTATGGGCTTCAACTGCCTTCTCTCTTCTTGTTTATTTTTCTATTAGTTCCCTATGGAACTATTACAGCTGCACAGCAAACTTCCCCATAGGCCAATTGACACATATAATACGCAGGTTTTTAGAAAACTTGTCTACTGTATACTCACTCAAAATATAGGAGACTTCATTTGGGCTTTAACATAGCCTGCCCTTTTGTAAAAATGCAACATATCATACATTCTGGGTACCAACACCTGCAGAAAAGCACAGTCTGTGTTAAGTCACATATATAAAATCCACTGGGAAAATTCTGTTACATGGGTGTGCAAGAATGGCATCTGTCGCTGCTGACACTGAACATGCATGTTTGGCTTTAAAAAAAAAATCCTATCCATAACCAAAAAGATTTTAAAATAGTCAGAAGCCTACAAAACCAAATTTTCCTGAAAAAATGAGCCAGTGAAACAATATAAACAATATACATATTTTTATGCCTATGCTTAACCGTAGGCAAGGTCAGCCCAGCAATGCATTAGATCACCTATTCAAAGCTTGATTTATCCATCAAAAAATTTGAGATTAATTACACAGAAAATAAGCTCTTGTAATTAATTATTGGGAATAAAATCAAGCTATAATTGTTGATGAGGGGGGAAAAAAAATGACATAAACTATTCACTTAAAATCAAGTAACAGAGCTTGTTTTTAACTACAGCAAGATGCTGAAGTTAGAACTAAAAAAGTTGCAAAACAAAATAAACTGAAGTTTGTCCAAATTCATTGTATTATATTACAGTCATCTGTTAGCGATTATGAGCCAGTGAGGTCTGTTGTAAAATGCTTACAAAGGATATAGAAATAGTCTTCAAATATGAAGCAAATTAGGAATAGCTGGCCTCTAAACAAGCATTTGATGTATGAAAAGAGATGGTAAGAAAATGAAAACCTCAGAATGCTTTTTAGACCAGCTGCCTCAAACAACCCTCATTTCCATTTGTAAAGGGTCCAAGTCAGACGTGACATAAGCGTGATGCAAACCGCCCCACCATCTTAACGTTGGGAAATTTGCCATAATGTACAGTTTGTTAAAGAAGAATGGAGAAAGGAAAAATGAGGGAGGCTTATTAACATGTAACACCACCACCATCCTCTTTGAGTCTGGACCAAGTTAACTGGAATGAGAGGTAAAAAGATATTCTAGAAGGACAAAACCTACATGCACCGCATTCTAGCTAACTAGAATATATATATGTCACTTCAAGTTAGATCACTCACTCCTGTTCCCTTTGTTCAGATGTTACATGCTGTAGAGCTTCATTTTTACTGTCACCAAGAAGTCTGAAGCACATGAGCAGAGCCTAGCTTGAGGCCTGGCTGTTAGAAGATGCACTTTCAGCTTTTAAGAAGAGCCCCATAAAATCAGGGCTCAAAATAAATACTTTTTCTAAATGTTATGCAAGCAGCAAATGCCTGTGCTTGTGCATATTTAGGAACATCCCCCAGGCCCTGACCTGGACCTGTTCAGCATTTGAGCTTTTATTTTCCCATGTCAAAATGCTTTGTACATTCAGAGTCGTGTTTGATCAACAGCGAATTATAGTAACATAATCTCTGCCAGCAGTGTAGGAAATTGCCATGGAAATTCTTTCTTGTCCCTACTTTGTGATACAGGTTCTTTATCCTTGTCATAATGACCCTTGGGTCTCGGTTACTCGCAACCTCTTTGTTGCACTTGGGAGGAAGGAAACAACCGTATCACTGACAGCGATGCTGACCGAGAAAGCAGGAAAAGGAGGAGAACATACCAGGGAAAAGGAAGTACATAGAAAGTTACACATGGGGTCAAAGCCTCACAGCTCACACATCAGAGGTTTGCACGCTTTTCCACCATGAGTGACAAAAAGCCAGATCTACAAGCTCTTACCTCTTTTTCATCTCTTCTTTTTACACTCTTTCTTAACACTTTTTAAGCTCTTACTTCTCATTCAAGCCTCTGAGCTCCCCCAAAACCTGAGGCATCAAAACTGTGAGCGTGAAACTTCTGTGCAGTGTGGTTTTAACTTCTTTCCTTGAACAGGGACACGAGTAACACGGGTGTCGTTGAGTTGGAGAAGCTGACCCCTCGCAGTCCTTGCCTCCTCCCTCCCCACCCTCCCCTACACACCCTGAGCCAGAGCTTTTCTCACCAGCGATCCCTGCTTCACCTCGCTGCTTGCCCTTCCGTGGCCTGTGCTTCCTCTGCTCCCACGACATCCTCAGCCGCTCCGGAGCGTTGCTGTGAGAAATGAAGTGAGTGGAGCGAACTGGTAGCAGCAGGAAACGCTCGGCGCTGCTCAAACTCCGCCAGTGTCAGCTAAGGAGAACCAAGCTTTGTATTTCATTTTAACAGTAACATCGGAGCTGTCATCGCAGCGAGGATAAACGAGAGAAGACTGGATCTTGGTTTCTTCCACCTAAGCAGAAAATATTAGAGACAAACATGGCAAGTGTCCCAATAGGGAAAAAATTAGCCCGCTGCCTCTGCAAAATTTTGTAAACACTTCCCCATAAAAATATACGAAAAATGCCATTGCCCTCTAATAAGCAACTCTGTGACTCCAGATGTGATGTTAACTAGAGAAGTGCATTGTAAAACTGGGACAAATGTCAAATTAATCTAAAGTTAACCTTTCTATATGGCATATAACTCAGGTGCAGATGAGAAGTTTGGCTCCTAAATTAGGTTAAATAAACTTAATTTGCTGCATAGGCTATTGACAGTGTCAATTAAGAATGAAGGCAACCCCCCCCCCCCACCCCCAAACTGCATAACTGCACATTTTCTCTTGGATGCTGAAGTTACTCAAATTGAATTTAATGAAACTTTACTGTCTTCTAGTACCGTTGGTATGACAGAACAAATTTTTTTTTTTTTTTTCCCCTAACACAAGTCCTGGAGGAAACTGCCACACAAGTTACACAGACTCTCTGAGGATGCAGAGAGCTAAATAATATCAAAGAAAGAAATGAGAAAAGAACACGTTTGTACTTTTGTCTGGAACCAATCATATCATGTGACAGAAAAGCCATCATTAGTCAGCAAAAACCAAAGATGAAATTAGGTAGTGTTCAGAGCCTTTTGCTTGTGCCTGACATGGGCTCATGGAGAAACTGGACTAGTTTGTGGAAACCTACTGAAGGTTACTAACTGCCCAGAAAAAACCTCTGCCATCTCAGGAAATCACAGAGCCATAAGTGGCAGGAAGCTGGGAAAGTACTGCGGGGAAGCATTGCCTATTCTTGCCGTGTTCTTACAGTCTTCGCAAAGCAAGCGACAAAAAGGAATAAAGCAAGCTGCAGAATGGATGAAACACAAACAGCCTGGGGTTTCTGGGAAGGGAAGGAGAAAAGAAAGGCACTACATTTGCATCTGCTACCCTAATGGAAAGAAAGAAAACAGTGTGCCAAAAAATGTGAAGATGCAAACTATTACTTATTGAAAATATATCAGGAAGGGAAACCATAATCACCAACAAAGTCAGGCCAATTAAATGAGTTGGGTGGTACAGAAAACAGTGTCATTAAGAATGTTATTATACCTTTATTGTAATAGTTCTCTCCCGCACTTAAGAGAACCTCAGAAATACCAAATTTCAAGGTCTATGAAAAAGCATTACAGTAATAAATGCAACTTAATGCTCCACGAGAGGCAGTCTGAGTCCTTAACTAGAATTCTGATTTTCTTCTTTGACATCGCAGCCCAGAAGCATGCCCCAATACACATGCAGAAGCATAAAAACAGATTCCCAGCTGCGCATACTAATACCCATCTGCTCAAATGTTAATAGACTAGGTCATTTAAAAAGCAGCGGTTTTTAACCCAGAAAGTATTGCAGTCTTTTACGTTATACCACATTCAGTCTTTCCAAAAGCAACACTTCCAGGAGCAGCAAGGCAGCAAGCCCACTTGTATCCTAAAAATCATCTTAAAGGAATCTGGCTGCCAGGCTGCCATCTCAGTTCATTTTCTTCACACTACAAGAGATATGACCACACCAATTCCAAAAAACTTCACTTGGTGGGATTTATTTCGGGGAGGAACGCTTCCTTCTGCTTTTTGTGCACAATATTTGGAATATTTCAGCTGTGCCTCAGTCAAAGCGTGTCTCTCTCTGAGTGAGCCTGTTTAAGTTTTGGGAAGTGTTGTCATAACACTGAGAAGAAGATAGGTAGTTTTTGTGGGTTTTTTTCCCACATAATTACCTGTATTTGCTCTGATACATGTTATTATGATTGAGCACGTCTTGGAGCGTCTGTCTCTCGCCTCACATCGGCACCTCTCCAGGCTGAGGGGACCCTCAGGCTCCCTCGCTCCCCTCAGACAACCCCCAGCCCCGCTCAAGCCGCCCACCCCCGGCTCCCCTCAGCCTCCCCCGGCCGCCCTCACGACCCGGGCCCGGCTGAAGCAGGTGGGAGGGACGAGGGGAAGGGGAGTAGCCGCCGAGCCAGGAGTTTCCCCGAGCGCTTCCCGACACTGACAGCGGGCGGAGGGAGGGCGGGAGGTAGCGGGCCGGGCCCCTCCGCTATTAGTACCGGCCCTCAGCGGAGCCCGCCTCAGTGCGGGGCCGCCTCGGTTCACCCGCCGCCTCTCAGCGCCATGCAGGGGCTCAGCGCCGCGCCGCCCGCCGCCTGCCTCCTCCTTCTCCTCCTCCTCCTCAGCGCGCTGCTGGCGGCGGCGGCCGCCGAGCGGGAGCTGAGCCCCGGCAGCCGGCTGGCCGCGGGGGCGGCGCGGGCGGCACTGCACTACCTCAACTCCCAGGCGGCGTCCCCCGCGGCGCTGCGGGGGCTGGGGCAGGTCCGCAAGGCCACGCTGAAGGTAGGGGTGGGGGGGGGAAAGCGGGGCGGCTGCGGCTCCGGAGGAGCTGGGGTGGGGGAGACACTCCTCAGGCGGGGTTTTGAAAGCGACGCTGGGGGAAGAACGGCGAATGATAATGATGATCGTGAAAGAGCGGAGCCGCGGCGCGGAGCTCAGCCGCGCTGAGCCACCGGGCGCCTTCCCGCCTCCCTCGGGGCGCCGCTGTCCCGCCGCAGCTTCCCTGAGGGGGTTCAGGGCACCCGGGTCCCCTCAGGGATCCACCGCCCCTTCCCTGAGGGGGTTCAGGGCACCCGGGTCCCCTCAGGGATCCACCGCCCCTTCCCTGAAGGGGTTCAGGGCACCCGGGTCCCCTCAGGGATCCACTGCCCCTTCCCTGAGGGGGTTCAGGGCACCCGGGTCCCCTCAGGGATCCACTGCCCCTTCCCTGAGGGGGTTCAGGGCACCCGGGTCCCCTCAGGGATCCACTGCCCCTTCCCTGAGGGGGCTCGGGGCACCCGGGTCCCCTCAGGGATCCACCGCCCCTTCCCTGAAGGGGGTTCAGGGCACCCGGGTCCCCTCAGGGATCCACCGCCCCTTCCCTGAGGGGGCTCGGGGCACCCGGGTCCCCTCAGGGCTCCGCCACCCCTTCCCTGAGGGGGCTCGGGGCACCCAGGTCCCCTCAGAGGGGAGTGAGGATCCACCGCCAAAGATTCGGGTTTAAATAGCACCCCAATCCAAGCCCAGTGCCCCGCAGGGTGGTTGACGTCGCTCCCCAGTGCCCTGTCCTGGAATCTAAACCAGCGTAACACAGACGAGGGAAGGAGGGAACTGAGGCATGTGGCAGGCACACGATGGAAATTAAAAAAGAGTTTGATGAGGAAACGTTCCCAGCAGAATTGCTTCTGGAGCGACCATCTGCTTTGTGTGAGGAGGGATGGAAAGGACTTTAGCTTTCTACATCTGGAGACTGAGCTTCAACTAAAAGGTGATGCAATTGCTAACAGAAAATATGCCTTTATCTTCCAAAAAACGTCAAATTGAGGTGACAGAAAGGGGCAGGAGTCCTAGACAGGAGCAGCTACAGGGGCAGAGCTCACGCTGTGGAGAGCTTGTCAGGGATGCTCGAGGCGGTGCCCAGGTCAGGCACAGTGTACCTGCACCCCATGCCTCGAGGCCATGGGTTTGTCTGTTTTTTTTTTTTTTTTTACAGCTTCTGAAAGTAAAAGAACAGGTAAAACTGTTTGGGGAACATTTGTCCATGGCTGTAGATCATGAAAAGAAAGCGCTACCTTCCTGGAGAGCTGAGGAGGTCTAAGCTAGCACAGTGGATGGGATTTAAAATCAGCCCTCTCATCTAGCCCTTCTCTCCAGGGTAGTGCTGGGCAGCTCCTGAAGGTGAGGGCTGGTTGTTCTGGCTTCCCAGTCTGAAGTGCTAGGTGCATCACTGGATTCTGGCTCTAGCATCTGAAAAGGAGATCTTAACATTTGTCCTTAAGCATCTGCGTGGCATGTTCAATCCAAGCCCTCACTCCTAAAACAGAATAAGATGGTGTAGTGTAAAATCTCTTTCAAGAAAGAAGTTCCAAGCCAGCCTGCAGTGGTTAGGATGTACTGTTGCAATCCTTAACAACATGGAACTTGAGCCTCAATTTTTTACAGCTGACTGTGGTTTCAAGTCTGAGTTGCACGCAATATTTAACAGACTAGAATAACTTCCAATTAAATTTGACAAAACACAAACTGCTACATAGTGATTCAGAATTTGTCTATTACATTGTGTAACACAAGGCTGAAAGATAGTGTTGGTCATGCTACCTGTTTGGGAATGCAAACACGATGTCCTGCTATAGATCTATCTGAGACCACAGCCTTTATGTTACTTTCAGTTCTCATCATCATTCCCAAACGCGTCAGTAAACATATAGCGTAATAAGTGCTGAGCATGGATGTGCTAGTGTGACGCTGCATTCTTCCTATGAAATTGCTGCAGGCACCGATGACAGAAATTTACTGTGATATTTGATACTTCTTTCACAACCTACAAGTGTTCCTCCTGTATTTACTGGGCACTTTACTGTGTAGTGTATATATTTACATATGCAAATGCTTGTGCCTCTTTTAAGCACAGGAGCATGGCCTCTGGGAGCAGCCTGTGCTATCGGAAGCAATGCACTGATCTAGGAGAGACATAGCAGCAGTACAGGGTTGGTGCAGACCCTCTTTCCAACCCCACTGTAACTGAGTATTTGCGAGGTAGTTTTGGTTGTGAGGAGGGAAAGGGACTTTTTTCCAACCACTATCAGCCACCTGCCTCTTAATAGAGGAAAGAAAAAAAATGCGTTCATTATAGAGAAGTGAAATGCCTCATTATTTCCTCACAGTACTTGATGCTGTAGGAGCTCACCGTAACCACTTCCTGCAGTTTAATTCCCCTTTTTCTTTGCACAGTCCATGAAAATGAGAAGAAATGCACTAGATGTGGTCACTTCCTTCTTTCCTGTCCTCCACTGTAAAAAAATGAAAAGAATTTCCTGAAAGGAATGTGCTATATTATGTGAGTGCAAGAGACAAATGTTGGGGGTTAGGGGTTTTTTGTTTGTTTTTGGGTTTTTTTTGTTTTGTTTTTCTGTTGTTTTTATTTTAAGAAGGCTAGTTTCCTATTGGTTCATATATTGCTGGATCTAGTGAAAATAGGATAATTTTATCATGGAATTTAATCATGAGCACTGTATTTTAAAACTAGCATTATTAGCTCACTAGCCAGTGAAACTGTGGTAATCAGACACAGGACTGGAGACAGTCAGTAGCATGGTAACTCCCTTAGATGTGAAGGACTTTTCAAGTTCAGGTAAAATGAGACTTCAGGGCTTTTCTCTCCCAGCAACAAACAGTAGAGATATGCCAAATGTAAAAATTCCTACCTTGTCATTGGCTGCAGTTTTCTTCTTCTCCCTTCTCATTCACATGGGATTTCTCTTAAGTGAGTATCTTCTAGGAGGCAGCAGCATGCATCTCATGGAATTGTTGACAGCTACACTTTAAAATACATTTTTGGGGAAGAGAAGCATTAGTGTGTGCCAGCTGAAGATCCTAGAATTCAAGAGAGAAGCTTTCACACTGATGTAGCAGTCTCCCATACCAAGCTGCCCTGGAAACCATAACTGAGGAGTAGGTAGGTAAATCAGGAGGTGAAGTGTAAAGGTAAAGTTAGGTAAAATCTTGGCTAAACTGCAACGCTTACTTAAATTGGACTACAATTTTACAGATGGATATTCACAAGCTTACGGAGAATGGTGTAATACCAGAGCTATGGACCTAATATTAGAAGTCAGTTAAAAGATTTCTACCTATTTCTAACAGCCAGGACTCCACGTTAGGGTGGGGAAGGTAAAATGAATGGCAGGGTAGGTAGGGCAAGCTAGATACAGAGAGCTGGAGAAAACAGCCATCTCTGCTGGCATTTCCCTCCTGCCTGGGGCAGCCTGAGAGCTCACCTGGCTGCTTGTGGATCAGATGTCTCTGGCAGGCACCTGAGCTGGCTTGCAGAGCCCGTGGGAGGGCTGTGAGGTGGAGCCCCCCTCGGCCAGCGCCCGAAGGACCCCACTCACGCTCCCCTCTCAGCAGTGCCAGCGTCTCCACGCTGAGCGCTCAGGTCAGCCCTCTGAAAACTGGTCCCTGGGAAGAAATGCTGGTGGGGAAACACACAGAAGAAAAAATGGAAACCTGCAGCAAGGGGTGAGAGAGGGACCACCCCTTTCTGTGCCAGGGGGGTGTTCGAGCAGCGTAAACCAATCGCAAAACCACCTCCTTTGGGACCTGGAATGAAACTGCTCTTAAATTGCTATTCTGGCCTTTACAATACTAAAAATCTGTCATGAAAGTTGCATTGATTTTGAGCCCGGAAATAAAACAATCCCATGACCCAGATATTCAGTGGAAAAATGAATTACTCACTTGTTTTCTTCTCTTTTGGACACTTCTATCTTTGGCTGCTTATCAGCCAGCCATCATTGTGTGATGTCAAATATTCCTGAGGTCTTCTGTAACTCACACTATGTGATGGCTTACACAGTGATGCACGTTGGGATGACAGCAGAAAGGAATAGTGGAAATAAAAGTGATGTTTTTCTTAGAAACCAGAAATACTTTTGTAAAAGTTAAAATCATTTCATGCCAAATGTACCTTCTCCCTCTCCCCGGTAAGATCAAAGCAGCCCTCCAGTATGCATACCCAGACTGAATATGTATTTTAGCTGTGCAGCACCCCTCAGAAGCTTTCTAGGTGAGTAGTGCTGCTATGGTGGAATTGTTGCAAATGAAGAGACAGTATCTACTTCAAAACCCACATAAGCACATAATTATGCATTCTTTTTAAAGTGAGTATTTACCAGGTCATTAGTCATGAAGCTTTTCTACAGGCTTCTACTGAGAGGAATTAGAGGCTGAATAATTAGTTTATAAAAAGTTCCAAGTGATTTTGTTTTCATTAGTGCTCGATATCAAGCAAATGCAATGAAACTGCTGAAGTATTTTGTCAGAACCTGATTACTGTTCTCAAGGTTATCACAGCTATGATGTTTTCTTTAGCAGAGAGAACAGGTGACACCAATGCAAGAACAAATAATATTGGAAGAATAGTTGAACGTATTTTAAACGACTGAATGTGCTAGACAGAAAAGATCTGGCTCAACTATAAAAAAGCTTCTGTTACTGACTTTTAAGACCCTGATGTTGTAAGTGGGAGTGTGCAGCCAGGCTGCTGCATCTGCCCCAGGAGGAAAAGGTTCTGCAGGAAACGTCGTCCACTGCCATCAGCCAAGTCAGAGCTAAGTTTCTCCTGCTTCAGAGGCAGTGTGGTCCAACCGGCTCTATTTCAGATTCTCTCATCTGTGGTACCAGTAGCAAGAAAAGGAATAAACCTAGGTCACTGTGCTTCAAAAATACCCATACTTGATCAACTGACGAACATTAGAAACAATAATGATGATACCCTCTTGGGTAGCTGTACAATAATTAGGAACTTAGACTTAACTGCAGTGGAGATTAGCCCCTTCTTTCAGTGCCACAGGTTACTGAACCTTTTGTAAACTTGCATTTCAGAAAGCTAGTTTTTACCGTTTTGCTATGCTGAGTGTCCGTTCGTGCCATAATCTGTCGTTCTGAGGACACACAAAACAGGGGCAGAAGAGCGGGAGAACAAGGAGGCAGAGAAAAGATGATCAAAGTCTGACCTCATCTTCTGTTTCCTCCATTCCCTTCACAGTGTGATCTGGGTCCAGCTCCAGACTTGCCCCAAAAAGCTTCAAGAGGGGATTTTATAAAAGTAGAGCAAGCGATGAAACCAATTTGTCCTCTTATCTGCAGCACATAACTGCGTGTTTGTATTAAAGGCAGGTGCAAGATGGCCTTGCTCGGGGAGTGAAACTTTGCTAACATGTTATTAATGGCTTCCTGGAAGAAAGTGTGAAAGGCCCAAGTTTAGATAAATAAAACACACGTTTGCTTTAGGTTCTAATCTTCAAAATTATGCAAACAGCCAGAATTCTCCTCCTGTCTAGCTGAAGAGTAATGTTTTTAAAAAACAAGTACAACTATCAAATCGATGCTCTTGCTGGAATACAGTAATGCCAATTTACAAGGAATTAGTTGAATAAAGTTTTCCTCACTATTTGTTACTCAGACTCTCCAATCAAAAATATAAAAATTTCAAATGTGAATATAAAAGTTGGTAGGAAAATAGGAGGCAGATTAATGAAGTAAAGAGCAGATAATGCAAATACTTCTTATTAGGCTCTGCTCTTACACCACTGAATGAGACACTGACCCTGTTTCAGGATAATCAATATTTTTCATGGCCAACATTAAAAGCTAGTTTCTATTTCAGCATGCTTGGGGCCAGGACAGTCTGTGATAGCCCACACCAAAACTACAACTTGTTAACTGAACCATTTCTGTCAGCTAGAGGAAAAAAAGTCAAACCAAAAAAAAACCAAATCCAAGAAAATGACCTATTTCAAAGGTGTACATTTCTAAGGCTTTTCTGATGTTTTGTGCTACAAGAGGTGCTACTGGCTGCTTCCCATCAGCAAGGAGTATTTTTTATTTTTCCTTAACAAGTGTCATCTTGGATAGTTGACTGGGCAACTTAATGGATAGTATTTTCAGGGCAGAACATAGCAGACAGATCAGAATCCTGCTCTGACACGCTGCGTAGAGAAATTAAGTCTTTTTCCAGTCACAATAGAAAAAACTTAGAAAGGTTAGTGTCCCTGAGATTAAAATAGCCTGTGTAATTCCAGCTGTGAATCAGTCAGCAAGATTTGATTCATTTATATATTCAAGGGCACTCTGATAGCCTGTGCAAAAAATACCTCCTCGGAAGCTGAACGCTGGTTTTTAGTTTTAAGTTACTCAGTATCAGTCTGTCCTGTGAAGGACTTTGAGCTGCATTTCTCTTCCTGCATATCTCCGTGAGGAAAGGCTTTAAAACACCCCTTACCTGAAGGCTTATTTATTGTTGTGAAGAGCCTTTGTGGTTGCTGCTAGGATCACCTCACCTCACCCATCGGCTGCTGCGGGGCCACGAGGCAGCCAGGGCGCCCTCGTGATCCCCCCCATGCCCACGCCAGCACCTCGGCACGTTACAGTTTGTGAGGCTGCAGTCACGCTGACGGCTGAACCCTTCTCTCTTCCAGAGCATCCCAGACTCCGGTCACAAGTACTACCTGCAGTTCACTACCCAAGACTATAAGAGCGGGGTGAGTTTATGGTCCTCTGTGTTTTTTCTGCCGTCGCGCGCTAAATGAACTTCAAATCTCCAAAACAGGGTACGTTCAGTGCTGTCGCACACCCATCTGCCACGATGGAACAGCTCACCTTTATGCTTTTACCTGCCTGTCCAGCACGGGGCACGGTTTGCTCTCAGGATCACCCCAGGATCTCATCTAACAGCCCTCTGCCCCCAACCAGAGCCCGGGGGCTGTAGCTCCCCGCTCAAAGAGGTTGTCTGCTTTCCATCAGGCAGCCGCGTGCCTGAGTGAAGCTTTGCAGCGGTCTGAGCTCGGTGTGGCAGCGTGGTCGTTATCCAGCTGTGGCTCCTGCTGTGTCCACACCAAGAGGAGAATAAAGAGTTGACAGCTGTGTGTTCTTTTTAATTATAACCTCCACTCTAGTCATTCTGTCAGACAGTTGTCATTAGCAAATTTACCATAAGCATCTGCTTTTCCATTGCACACACATTTTATGAAATTCAGATTGTTTTCATAATTTCATATGAAGCATAAGCTTATTTTTGTTTCAAGGCTGAAGTACCATACAATGAAAGTCCCTGTTATCAATTAATATTACTTCTTGAGAACTCTCAAACATATTTCCAAGATGACTTAGTGTATTTCTGCTACACTTTAATTAAAAACTTCCGTTAAATCACTTTAGACTTGTGGTTTTAACCTATTTACTTTTCTGGAAACAAAATTATATCCTTCCAGGCTTCCTGGACCCCTGTACAGCTTCATACAAAGCGCCTCACAAAGACATACACGTACGCCACATGCATGCTTCACATGCTAATACCGAGAGCTTTTTTAAGTGCTGCAGGTAAATAACATCTTGATTAAAGAGAACACTTTTAAACTCTACCTTTACAGGAAAATGCCGGGAGCTGCCTTGCTACGGTGCTGTATCCGAAGACAAAGTCCCCGCCTGTTGTCAATATCAAGTGCATGCATACCAAGGACCAGAAGCAAATCCATGAAGAGGACAACAGAGTTTACCAAAAACTCAAGCATCAAACCAAACCAATCACTGGAAACAATATTCCAGGTATATTCCGCCAAATAAGCAATGGTATTTCATTTTATCTTAAAGAGCCTGGGCGCTTTTAAGACCACAAGCAAACGCATGCACATTTTAAAAAGGAAATATATATTTATAGTAGCACCCTAAACCATAGAGCTAACTGTCCGAGTAATTCCACCTCGCCAGCGATTCTTGGGGAGAAAAAAAACCCGCTCTGGTTACCAACAACGGCGGTCAACACTATGTGGTGAACGTGTTTGGGATTTAACGCAGGTTTAGCATCGTTTTCCTGCCTGTTCAAGATTTTAACACAGCGGGGGGAAGAGTCGCTTCCCAGGAAGAACGCTGCGCCAGGCAAAAGTGCTCCGTGGTTTATCGTTTTTTCTGCAGCGTAGCCAGAATGAATCATTTTTCTCTTGCTCTCTGTTTCCTCTGCAGACAGCTACGGCAACATTGAACCTGCCCTGGAGCCAGTGTGGGCTTTGGCCGTTGCTGGCAGCAGTTACATGATGTGGGAAAAGTCAACAGAGAGCCTGGGTTACTTCCTGGCACAAGTCAAGTCTGTGAAGCAGTGGGTAAGCAAAGTGGAAATTACACCTCTGCATTACTGAACCTACCAGGCTCTACCAGACAGCAGAGAATAAACCAGCCCTCAGCAGCTCACGCTCTCTGCAGTGGGTGCGATTCTCCCCAGATCCCTGTGGCTTCTCCACACAAGTATCTCCACCTCTGGACAGGTATTTTGTCCAGGTTTTGGTGGAAAAAATTTTACTCGTTTGGACAAAATTTGGTTCTCCTTGTTTGCACGAGCGGATCCGTTGGCTTCTGCCGAATCGGGAGATTTGAACGCAGAGTCCTGCAGTTCACCGCGTGGCTCCTCGGGCCCGTGGCCCTCCTGGCCGAGCCCAGAGGGGGCAGCAGCCCAGGGGGGCAGCTCCCGCCCTGCAGCGGGTCGAGCAGGAGCACCCAGGGCTCCGCGTCCCCCAGGCACCCAACCGACCGACAGCGCTCCCTTTTCACTCCCTATTTAGAATGCTATTTCTCCAGAGATTAACAGGCAGGTAAGATTCTCCAATTGATATGAGGGTTAAACCCAATTAATTAGCAGGAGCCAGTCTGGTTTCATGTCAGAGACCAATCAGGCTGCAGAGCCGCGCTGCAGTTAGTTCCCTCAGCGCTTCGATGCGGGAAGTGCTCCCCATTCCCCGATTCTCCACCTACCAAACCCACCTCTCGCCAGCCCCTGACCGCAGCCGGCTGGAGCCCTCCTCCCCTCGCTCCCAAAGTGAGCTAAATGCAGCCAGGGAAATCGGAGGCGACTCTAAACTTCAACAATATAACTTGTGTCGGTGATAATTTTTTTTCTCTTTGATACTCACCCAGATAAGGAAAGATGATTTCGTTGAGTTTGACTACACTGTCCTACTCCACGAAGTTCCAACCCAGGTAAGAAAGCGCATGCGTAGGATACCTCCTTTCATCCAGAGAAACAGTACAGAGTTCATCAAAAACACGTATTTTCAAATCTGTTCCCCAGGAAATTATTTCATGTCACATGCGGCTCACTTGGCTTCCTGGTCACCCTCTGAAAGTGAAATATTTCTGTGCTTCGGAGAATCAGGGGCTCGAAGATGGGTCTGGAGTGGAATCTGGCTCAGCTGCTGGGATTTTACAAGAAAGGGGAGCAAATTTTTAAGAGAGATTGTCTGCTTTATGTATAAGTATTAAATGAGAAAATCCTTGTGTTAATAGACCTGGAGTTGTGGTAATTTTTCTGTACAAGTCGAACAGTGAATCTGAATGCTGTCACTAGTCGGTTTTGATTCAAAATTAATTCTTACCATTTTTTACACTCACGTTCTAGAGTTCTACCTAAAATCTTTGCTACTATGTATATACACTGATAAGCACACACAAGTTGATTTTGTGCCACTAACTTACTGTTACTTAGAGCAACATTGTTTGTAAACAAAGCTAATATATTTGGATAAAAATCATGAGAAAACTTTATCTGTCACTATTTGCCTGCTGATTTTCCTTCCATGTTTTGGGATGGATGGTTGGCCAAGGCAACTCTGAAAATACGGATGTAAGGAAAACAGGTTTTCTGGTCTCCCCACATCCGTCGCCAGTCCCAAGCACTGCAAGCGGCACCGGGGGGGAGCCGAGGGCCTTGGCTCCTGTCCCTCCCCACCAAACCCTCCGCTGTCCCGCTGCTGGGCTCCGAGGTGGTGCCAAACCAGCTCCAGGTTGCCATTTTTTCCCCGCCATGAGATTTCTGCCCCGTGAAATGAGCCCCTTACCCTCCTCAGGAAGCCTCTGCCTTCTGGGACGGTCGCGGTCCTCGTCTCTCGTGGCATAGGGCACGCTCGCCGATCTGTAAGCGGTAACGATGATTAAGGTATTTGCCACAAAAGGGGCCCATTTGGGCTGGGTGATCTGTTAACCCCCAAATTCAGGCATTTTACACAAGTGTATTAGAGTCGGAGATACTTTTACTGACTGAAGCTTTTTATATCGGCACATAATGGCATTACAATAAATTCAGTGAAGCAGCATTTCACATCCTCTTGGTGTTTTCTTTCGTGCTGGTAAAAAACCAAAAATTCTCATCATCAAATGCATGAAATCAGAACTTACAATGGCAACACTACTTAAAGAAACTGGTGATGAAATTATCTTTTTAGAATTAAAACAAGAAAATAGCATGGATTTGGCACTTTGGGGCTCTACTTTAGCAACGCACTTAACCAGTTTAGTTTCCTTACCTTGGTTTTGCCCCTGCTCTCCAGACCCAGAGCGGAGGATCGATCGGGCACTTCCGACTTGCCAGAGCTGTGCAACTTCAGTAACAAGCAACACAAGCTTACATCGCTTCAGAAACTGCACTGTAGCTTCTGGACAAGTAGCAAACCTGTTGGAATTCAAAGGCAGAATTCCCACCAGCTTCTTAAGGGCCAAGCTTTAGGTGGTGATCCACTGACTGAAAATCACCCAGTTTTTACTCAAGCAAAATTCTTGGTCGCACCAACATAATTGTTACCCGAGTGGAGGCTCAGGGAGGGTCTTGGTGAATCCTTCGCGCGCTAATGCTGCGTGCAGAGCCCATCTGTGAGAGGCCCGGGCAAGACAGGAGCAATAGTTCTCTTCCATCTTCGTCCCTAGGAAGGGTTCAACTAAGTCAGAGACAGGATGAGCGCTATCTAAAATTTGATTAAAGGAAAAAAAAAAAAAAAAAAAATATCCAAGGCGTCCCACAATGAAGCTCTTGCTAGTGCTTGTACTTCTTCACCCCCTTCAGCTTCCCCCCTTGGCTCGCCCAGCGCCACGCTCTCATCGCCTGTTCACCAGGAATCCACGTCCTGAGCAGCCTCGACTGAGCATAATATAAAAGCCATAAATACCAATAAAATAACCACCACCTCGTTTCTTTCTTGTATTCCTACTGCTTTTATAAGACATCTTTGAATTCTGGTAAACACGCTATATTTGCTTGTTTAAGAAAATCTCCAAATGTCAGAGGACCTGCAGGGCTTTTCTCAAAATGAGTTCCAGCTGAGGATTTTCACAAAAACAAAGCTCCGAATGTAAGGGAATCGAGAAGGATTTGGCCCAAAGCAACATTGCACTCGCAATACAAGGCAATGCCTGTGTTTAGTCAGCACTTACAGGCCCCTGACAGATCTCGGACGCGGTACTTCTTTTCGAAGTTAAAATAAAGAATTTTCACAGTCTTTCTGTGAAGGCTGAGGAGGAGCAGCCCGGCCATTTCAGTCCTATCTGTGTCTGGTAAACACCAGGCACAATCCTGTGCCAGGAATATAACTGGTTTTGAACTGGAACTTCATTCTCTGTTTACTGGAAGTCTGTAAAAAAACGCTGTTAAGATGAGTAGGTCAGGAAGGGAGAGCACGCAAAGAAAATCCAGTGTGGATCTTCTAGTAGCAATTTAAAAAAAAAAAAAAGGATGATACTATCATCTCTTTCTCACTTAACTGTAACACCCTTGTTTTATCACTCTTCTGTGAGTGAGCAGGATCTATTCACCCAACTCCCCAGCAAAGCATCATCAGCAACACGCCCTCTGGATTGTGAGATTCGGGGAAAAGGCATCTTTTGTTGGGTTTTTTAACAAAAAGCCATAAAAGCAAGTCCATCAAATAAATCCACGCGTTGTTCAAAGCTTCAGAAAGAGTTAACGCCTCCGTGCGTTACTACCGACTCTTTCCCAGTGTCTTGTGCCCGGTGCCCTGCGGCTTGGCCCGGCTCGTCAGGACTTCGGGGCTCCCGGCACCGGTTCGGAGGGAAAACTGACCTGCGGGCCCTGGACCGGACGCTGCCAGTGCCGGCGCTCACGGGGCCACGCTCGGAGCGCGTCCCTGCAAACGGCTCGGCGCTGCGGGAGGACTCATCCCCCGTGGCTGCCTGGAAGTTAACAGGGAGCTCAGGCTCCTAAATGAAAGCTTTTAAACTTTCAAAAGCAGAGAAACAGTAAGTAGCCTAATTATAAAAACAATGATGTTGCAAGTAAAAAAAATAAAATTATTTTAATACAAATGGATTCAGAGAAATTTCAAGACAAATTATCATCAGTGTTTTAACTTTTATATATTTTGTTAACGAGCAGCATTTACATGTGAACAATTCCGCTGTAATCTCCTGGTGGTTTCTGAGAATACCACAAAGGAAGGATATTATAATGAAATTACAAGTCCAAGTCCCAGTGCAGCCTGCACTTCTCCAGCCAGCCTTGATTGCTTCTAGGGCTTGGGCTTTCCAAGAAGATCGTGAAAAACCATTCAATGTACTCACGAGGAAAAAAGTTAGCTCTTGGCTTTGCCCTTTTTTGCAGGAAGTCGCCCTGTTGCTTCGAGGTATTTATTAATTATTTCTTCTTGAGTGCTGGGCGAACAGGGCTGGTATTTACAGTATTCCATCGTATATTCACCCTTTCCCTGCAGAGTTGGGAAAAAAAAAAAGTCAAAGTGAGGCTGCTGAGCGTGGAATCCTGTTTAGCAGCAGGCCACACCCCAACCTGGGAGGCAGCGCGCAATAATCGTTCACGATGTGGTTCACAAACACCATGTACCGAGGCACGTGCGTGCGATACACACACCCACACAAAGAGGATCCGAGCATCGCGGCTCTGACACCAGACCGCAAGGTTGCCCGTGGTCCCCAGCTCAGCAAGCGTCACAATTCTGCTTAAAAACCGGCAACTGCTCCTGGTGTTAACGAACACCCGTTCGAGTACGCGTGGAATAGCGGCACGTGCGTGTGGCAAGGTGTGGAACGGCAAATTTTATGTAAAACAAACTCACCCGCCTCAAATGCATTCCGTGAGCGTGTAACTACCGGCGTGTGTATTATTAAAAAAGGTCACTTCAGGAACGTGAGCACTGCGGTCAAAAAATCTCTCCTGCTTGCAGACATTTGTAACGTAAGGAGTACAGCTAAGCTTCTCCAGCCTGCGCACTTAACATCTTTACTCATACCTATCGCTTATGACTCTGAATCCCTTCTCTCCTCAAAGTATGAAAGAATTTTTCGGCCGAAAATGACACAGCTAATGATGGCTATGTTAATTAAAAAGCAGTTAAAGTAACAGTAAAAACTCTAAGGTTATTTTCCTATTCCGCATGTGTTTTGATTTTTACCGCTTTTACTGCTGCACACGCTGTGTACATGCTGATGCAAATTAGCACACTTACCTTACAGAAATAAACATGTTCTAGCAAAAACTACTTACCTCTGTGCAAGACCGCAGCTCCATGGCATATCCAAACATATCATTCAGTGGCACCTGAAATCCAAGCACACTGTTCTTGTAAAAACAAGATATTTCTCCATCGACTGTGTGTTATCATCCAATTAATCTCAATTACGATATAAAGAGTCAATCAAATCTGGTGCTCTTTGTAAACAGCACTGATCTAATTATCCATTTTTGTAAAGTACTGCTTATTTCAACAAACTGATGTTCACAGTGTGCTTTCAGCAGGAAACCCCCAAAACCTCAGCATTTGAATGCACCGGACACTGGAGCATCCTGAATTCAGCAATCTGTGTCCCCCAGCAGGAGATCCTAATGTCTGAAATATCTCACGACTGCAGCCCTAAACCCAAGTTAACGGAGCAGGAACGATGCAGCGTGTGGTTTGTCGTTAGCTAAGGTTTTGCTGAGATGATTTCCCCTACCACTGCTGTTAGACCTACACTCCTATATGCCCTAACATGCGAACCAAGATGGTTTTGGAAGGGACGTAAAAGCAGGAACACTGAAGACAAGTCATTTGCATTTACCTGCAGTTATTACAGTAAGTGCAGGTAACAGCTGAGAAGATCTTCCCCCCCGAGCCCTGTGTCCCTGAGCTCCTGCAACGTTTCTCTCACTCTGAGGTAGCACCCCCAGCCCATCTCAAGAAACACGAGTTCTGTTCCTTTCTCCGCCAACCTGGGATTTTAGTAAGTCGGCTTCTCTAGAGCGAGACAAATTTCGAATAGGTTCACTGCCACTGCACCATACACTGCCAGGAGTCGACAATTAACGATGTGCTTATCTGCTGAAAAACTAATGTCACGTTTATCCACTGAAAAACCCAGCTACCAGTTTAGGTGTGTTCGTCAATAAGCAGAACGGTAACAGAGCCGAAAGGCAAGGCAGGAAAAGAGAAGGTGAGGAACCACAAACCTCAGCGTAGAGAGTAAAATAGCCCTCTATGCCATCTTGTCCTGTGATCAGTCCATGACGGCGATTAATTCCAGCTATCACTGCCCCCTGGAATTCAGTGGGTGCCATCACCTCCACTGCCATAATGGGTTCCAGTATACGCACAGTGGCGTTTTCCATAGCTGGAGGAAAAGAAAAATTAACTAAATCATCAAACATCAAGAACGAGCCTGATCTAATTCAAGATACTCCTATGCGTAGCAAGGAAGTGTTTTATGGTTAATGCTAAATGTTTCTTACATCAGTGGGGGAAAACGATAATCGGCTATGTGGAATTCCACCTCCCCTGCCTTTGATTCCCGAGACTGGGAATGGGAGGCACACGGGTTGGTAACGCCTTCTTCTCATACCTGCATAAGGATGAAGCTGTTGGTGTTTCTTTATTCTAGGAAAACAGGATTTCCTTCATACAACTGAAAGAATTATTGTGCCTCACTCAAAATTTCTCTACACTCTTGCGTATATTCTACTCTACAAAAAGCCAAACTTTAAATGTATGGATGGATACACCAGGCAACAAACGAACATACAGAAGGGAGGTCATTAAATTTAGCTCCAACAGTAAAGCAGGACTACGCGTTCAAACGCCTAGCTCTATACCTTGCTTTAGGGCTCCTTCTCCTGCTCTGATGAAAGCGAATTCATTAGAGTCCACCATGTGATGAGCACCATCATCTAGGACGAACCGGACGCCAGATATCCGGTGCCCCGACACCAGACCCTTTTCACATGCTTCTCGGAATCCCTGACGAAATACAACTCAGAGTTAGCAGTCTGTAGACCAAAACAAAGCTTGAAAAAGAATAGCATTAACAACAGGCTGAAAAAGACATTAAACTTAAAAAACAGTAACAAAAAAAGCCCCAAACCTTTCACAATTTTTAATCCCGTATCTACCCAACGGGCCTTCTTGCTTGATAAGATGATGAAAGAACATAGCAGTGGGGAAAAGTTTTAATTCCCAAGCATTTAAAAATTTTGTATGCTCTTTGGCACCTCAGTTTGATACTGACATTTTTTAAAATTAGGCATCATGGAATGAGCAAAGGACAGGAAAAAGAAATATACTCAGGATTTTGCTTTGTGAAGGGACTGTATGAATTAAACCCAAAAGCATACTCCGTGTGGAAAGAACTACTCTAACCACTTGACCAAAGAACAAGATTCTTTTAAGACTGCATGCTTTTTCCAGGATTTGGCAAAAATCTTTACATGTTGCAACACAGAATAATGAAGGAAATATTTTAGGTTGATCCATTATTACACAGATTCAAAGGTCATGGTAGGCACTACTTAAAGTAGTATGTGAGAAATTATATAGAGAGACAGACACAGAGGAAGCCCTCAGAAGAGATGAAAAAGAGTATTTGGCAGGAAATCTAGCTTAATTACAGTTCTCTACTGGCCTCAGAGAAGTCACAAAAAAAGTTACACATTTTGAGGCTGGAGATTAGAATCGTGTGGCCACAATCAAAAGCAGAAGAGGGCCATGAAAAAGCAGATTCAACAGAAGGCGGCATGACTGTAAGAAAGGAAAGTCTACTTTTTGCACAGAGGCGCTGCTATGGAAATAGAGCGAGCACACACCAGCAAAAAAGAAAAAACAAACAGCAGCTTCTAAATTAAGTGGAAAACCTAGGAATGTAAGATATTAAACAAAGCCATACAAACTTGATTTTGCTTCCACTGAAGTAATGGGAAAAGCCTCCTTGCCTGGGGCAAGATGGTCTCAGTAAATGTGGCTGGTATAGCAGGAGAACAAGAATCAGTATTTTTTAGATTATATACACACACAAAACGCTTTGTACCTTTTCAACAGCAGGCACGAATTGTTTTGGAATATTTGTGCCAACGGTTCTGTCTTCAAACTCTAATTTTGTGTAGTCCTCTGGGTCCAAGGGCTCAAGAACACCTATAACTTTGCCATACTGGCCTGCTCCGCCCGTTTGTTTCTTGTGTGTATATTCAAACCTAAGGACAAAGGAATCCCCCCAGAACACCACGTTACTCATTAAACAAACCATGCTCTAACCATGGTCTTCTAAGAAAAAAGTTCCCATTCTGCCTTTTGTTTTATATTCCATTTGGCTGTGTGCAACCAAAGTGGCTAAGTGCCAGGACAGCGGCTGGAACAACAGCTGAGGATATTTAATGCCCAAAGAGGGAGCGTACCGATCCTTCATCTTGCAACCAGGAAGCTGAGGTATCATGATGAGTCAAATCGCTCAAAAAAAAACCAACTGCAAAACCAAGCTGCTTCTCTGTGTGGCAAGCGACGCTAATAAAGCCTGCTTACCTTCAGGCCTGTGCTTTTTATTGACTGAACGGCGAGGTTTTTTTGGTTGTTTTCTGTGGGTGTGTGCAAAGGATTTGATGATACACGTGGATGCCGAACGAGGGGATCACCAAGGGGAAAACTGGTGAATACCAAACAGTTTCGAAGTGAAACTGGAGGGATGGGAGGTCTCTCTGAAGTACCCACCCGCGACAGGGGCGGCGCGACAACCCGCGGCGCGTCCCCGGTGAGAGGCGGGAACCGGGCCGGGCCGCCCCGGCCGCTTCCTGCGGGAGGAGGAAGCGGGTCCCGCCGCCATGGAGCTGCGGGCCAGCCACCCCCCGGCCAGCCGGGCAGCAGCGCTGGCCGCCGGCTACACCCGCTACCGCCGGGGCGGCCCCGGGCGCGGGCTGGCGCTGCGGGCCCTGCGGCGGGCCGGCAGGCAGGTGAGGGCCGGGAGGGAGCGGCTGGCCGGGGCTGTGCGGGGCTGAGGCGGCCGCGGGCAGGCAGCGGGGTCCCCGCTGCTAAAGGGGCGTTTCGCGGCCCGGCTGCCGGCCGGGATGTGTCGCCTGACGGCTGCGGCCGCCCGGCCCCCGCCCCGTGAGCTGCCACGCACCGCGGCGGCGCTGCCGGGAGGAGCCCCGCTCGGCGGCTTGGGCGGGTGGTTACCGGGCTGGTTACCGGCTGCGTGGTTACCTGGCTCCTTACCCAGCTGCTTGGTTACCTGGCTTGTTACCTGGCTGGCTGGTTACATGGCTGGCTGGTTACCTGGCTGCCTGGTTACACGGCTGCCTGGTTACCAGCTGCTTGGTTACACAGCTGGCTGGTTACCTGGCTGGTTGGTTACCCAGCTGGCTGGTTGCCTGGCTGACTGGTTACCCAGCTGGTTACCAGCTGGATGGTTGGTTACCTGGCTGGTTACCAGTTGGTTGGTTTCCTGGCTGGCTGTTTACCTGGTTGGCTGGCTGGTTACCAGCTGGTTGGTTGACTGGCTGGCTGGTTACCCGGCTGGTTACCAGCTGGTTGGTTGCCTGGCTGACAGGTTACCCGGCTGGTTACCGGCTGGCTGGTTACCAGCTGGTTGGTTTCCTGGCTGGCTGTTTATCTGGTTGGCTGGCTGGTTACCAGCTGGTTGGTTGCCTGGCTGATGGGTTACCCGGCTGGTTACCTGGCTGGCTGGTTACCAGTTGGTTGGTTTCCTGGCTGGCTGTTTACCTGGTTGGTTGGCTGGTTACCAGCTGGTTGGTTGCCTGACTGGCTGGTTACCTGGTTAGTTACCAGCTGGTTGGTTATCAGCAGCCCTGCCTGCGGGACTTCACCAAGGCACCCCTCCTGCTGAACCATGCTCAGGAGGAGGATGCTCTTCCCCTGACGACCAGGACAGACTCAACTCTCACCCCAGGGTGAGAACAGGGCTTTTAGCAAAACTAACCCGCTGGCCTAAGTCATTATCCAAAAAAATTTATGATCTGATAGAATTCATAATGAAGTGCAGTATGGACTGGATGTAAGGAACCCAGTTAAGACTCTTACCTCAGTATTTAACCAAGCAGCACATTATTGCACATAATCATACAGGGAGCCCAAATATGACAATTATGTAGCGTATAAGAGCAGGAAGGGGTGAGGGGGTACTCCTCGGACGCTAATCAGGGGTGTATTAAATGAGCGATCTTAACACAGCAGGCAGAAATAAAAGAACATCCCAGCTCTGCATGGGCCCTGCAGAGAACGGCACTGCTGCAGGGTCTTTCACAACTACAGTCTTTTCCACAATGCAAAGCAATTTAACGTTTTACAAAATAAATGTTCTTAATGTTTTCTCTGTTTAGGACATCGAAGATGTTGGGCATAAGTACCATCTGGAATTGGTGTTAGAAGATGTCCTTGACAAAGTGAGTTCAGATTTATTAATACATTCTGGGGGCAGAAGCTGGCACTGCTGACGTGCAATAAAAAGCCACCGCTTTATGCTGCTGATTAAAGCTGAGGCCAGTGGATGCAGCAGTTAATAAGACTTGGTATCATGTTTCAGATGTTTCTATATTGCAAATCAGGCAAAAAAAAAGGCTTAATTTTACCAAAAGGGAACGTTCATTTCTTACCCCATAAAAGCCCTGAATGTCTGGTACATCCCACTGTGACACAAGAAAACGCTTGAGGGATGACAAGCACATTTTAGTGTCACTCAATTTCAAATTGAAGTTATTTGAACCCATTACTCCAACTGAATAGCACAGGTGACATCCTGCGCCACAAACATTGCCCTTTCTATCACTGCAGGAAAAAAACCTACCCTTTTAGTATATTCACAGAAATACCATTAATGTAACTTTATCTTAAATAATCACAAATCTCTATGGGCTAGTCTTAGAGAAAACGGCAACTATGTAACGAAAAAAAAAAATTTAGATGTGCAAATTACTAATATTATACGTGTATCTAATCAAATATTAATACACATAATTAACTCTGTAACAGGACAGTACTGTTAACTGCACTGCTGAGGTTCTTTATCATCTGGGCAACAAAAACATTGCTCCAGATGTGCAATTCACACTTGAAGGAGAACTTAAGAACACAGATGAAGCAGATAACATATTCTACAATCGAATCAAGAGCCTGGAAAAAGAGCTTGTGGCAGAAAACATACCAGGTACAAAGAAGGGGTTTGGGCGAGAAGGAAGTTTTTGAGACCATGTCCTCCATGGCCAGAAGCTCAACTGGTGGTGGTCCATGACCCTTATGGGAACCCCTCCTACAGAAGCCAGGACCGAGGGGGATGAGGCCATTAGCCCTACTCTGAACACGCGCCGCTTCGCTTTCTCTTACTCAGGGTGGTGCATCAATCACACCACCACTCGCACCTAGTCACCCTCTCTGAAATCCAGAGCCGACTCATGATTTGTGTGGGACTGTTCTTGAAAAGCTCCTGCTGCTGTTACCTCTCTCTTTACCAGCGTCCTGCTCACTGCTGTGCCCATCCTTGGCGTAGTACATACATCAGCCACCCCAGCTGTACTACCAGGGTCTGCTCTTACTTTAGAGCAACCCCTGCCTTGAAGACCTTATAGAATATACATTAGGAGTCAGAAGTGGGAGGAAAACACGGTGTTGATGTAACAGCTCTTCCAAGATTATATGGAAGATCTGTGACACAGCAAGGAATGTAAGGGAGTGGCTTGGGCACCAAACCCGACTATTAGGTGGTAAGGTTCTGTTAATGGCTGCAACTGCATGAATCTTGCTTTGTGTATATTCATTTTGTTTGCCAGACAGCCACGGCAACGTGTCCCCAGAAATGGAGCCCATCCACCTGCTAGCGTGGGCCGCCTCCGGCTACGTGATATGGCAGAACTCAACTGAAAACACTGCGTTCCAACTTGCCCAAATTAAACATGTGAAGCAAGTGGTAAGTTACCATCAGTGCCCTGCAATAAAAGTAGTATTTAAGAGCTAAGTGGCTGTGCAGGTACTGGACTACAGCTGAAGCAAAGTTCTTGAGCAAGAAACCTCAACTGCGTGTGAACTTCTTGGTCCAGTTCGTTTTTAAGCCAGTGTTTGCTTTTTGTTCCACCTGCCCCTTTCCTCTAGCAAACCCTGAAGGCTTTCACTGATGGCTGGAGTGTTTATTTCAATCCCAACTTCTCTCCATAAATTTTATTTATAGAAGCTGTGTCTTCTTGGAGAGAGCAGTATTACATGCTTATTTAGTTAAGAAAACTAACTCCTCCACTTGGAGGTCATCACATTGATTACAATTTTCTATTACTTTCCTGCCTTTTATCTGTAGCGTAGGCCCAGCTGACAGTATTTTTGCATCGGCATAACCTGCACTGGAATACTGTCCTTCTTCTCTTGGTCCACACCATGATCTAGCAATCAGTCACAGTAACACTGCCTGACACCTCTGTGATAGCTATGTCTAGACAAATAGCAATGGGCTCCATCCCAAATACAATAAAACACAATCTACACTGCTTCTGTTTGCAGTATTGAGGTCTCCATCCATTTGCTACTTCACCTCAAAATGCTAATCAAGAAAGAAAATAATGTAATTCCACTCTCATTATTAGTTTTTTTTACTTTATTCTCCCCAAACTTAGTTTTACTAATTTTAATTATTATTCTTTGTTGGGGGGAAGGGTGGGAGAAAACCTAAAATTAATTTTTAGTCGAGCTCTTAGATTTATATTAGCATGATGAACATCAATTAAGTCCATGATAAGAAAACTGAATTCAGGAAGATGTGTCACAAGACAGAAAGGCAACAGAATACTTCAGGACAAAATATTTTCTATTTTCATTTCCTTCTGAGTGGTTACAAGTAATGTGTTTATCTTTAGCAGATCTGGATCTGCCCTAAACTAAGAAATAAAAATGACTGTCAAATCTCACTATAGCTATTCAAATTAATCGGGTTATTAGCTGCCACCATCAACAGGGCTTGCAGACTTCTTGCTTGGAACAGGCTTAACTGATAAAGCAACTTGCTTTCAGAAAAGTTATCAAAGTAAAGCTTCTGGGTTTATTTTTAAATTAATAGAATTCTATAGATTTTTCTAGTTCTTCTCTGTTTGGAGAAAATATACTGGGAGTTAAGAATAACTCTTAAAGGGATGGTCAGCTTTAAATTGAAGGAAATTTAGCAGGTAAGCTAGGATAAAGAAGCAGGATTTTGTATTTAGAAAACCCAATATATCAGGAATCTCCAGAACAGACTTTCAGAGCACGTATGTTTTGCCACTCAGAATAGCCAGTGAATTCCCATGAAGTTCCGCAGAGAAAGAAAAGGCAGGAACTCGTTCTGGGAGCACGATTTGTTAACGTTTTGCTCCCTCTGATGGCTATCTGAAAGCAATTCACAGATGCTGCAGGGCCACGCACAAGCAAGATTTTAAAACCCTCTTTAACACACCAGATGAATTTAAGGATAAGGTGAACAGAAGACTATTAAACTAAACCAGCTGTCATCTCTCTTCAGTAATTCTATTTTTTTTCTTTTTGCTGAGGAACAGGAATGTGAAGAGTATGTTCCAAAGGCCAGCGGGCATTCTGTCGCTCACATAATCACTGATAACTTGTTATCCACGCTAAGGCCTCCTAGTTCCCTCCAAGTCTTAACCTACTGACAATTTTATTTCCAGTTATTGGAGCTAAACTGACACTTTATGGAATCAGGTGTTGCCTTCCCAAATGAGTTCCTGAGATGTATCTAGCTTCTTTAAGGGAGGAATTGGCATGGTTTGAAGTTTCAGTCTCTCAAATGTAATTTTGGAGTTCACAGAAATGCAAACCAGTATATTTTTGTTTTGTTATAGTGACTAAGCTCCATCTGCTTTATTTGTCAACATGAGCTGCCAGTTTTGTCTGAAATATATCAGAGTTTTTATGCTAACTAAAGAGAACTGAGTCACGACTTTTAAGGTGGAGGAAGCCCCAAACTGAGGCCTTTTCATCTTGTCTTTCCAGAAAAGGAGTGATGAATACCTTGAATTTGACTACATGATTCTACTTCACGAAATGCTGACGCAGGTAAAATCTTATTTCTAAAAAAGCTCTTTTTTGTTGTTTTGTTTTAAAACTGCCAGCTGTGTAACCTCCAACTCAGACAGGCAGATCTGGGGCCATCACAGATCTGATGCTTGCAGGCCAGTTAGCAAACCGGGCGAGGTTAGGGCAGCGATCGCCCCTGTGTCTCAGCATTATCTGCTTCTGCCCCTACGCAGGCAGGAGACAGCAGGTCTCCAACTTGTGTCAACAGACAGTCATTTTCAGCTATTTCTGGGCCCTTCTCGGGAATGGCAGAGGTTCAACATTCACAGCTCTCTCCTCCTGGGAGATACAGCTGCCAAACTGGCCAGGGATAAAGGGAAGAAGCAGCTGGCAGCATCCTGGACTGCTGCGCTGCATTCCAGCTGGAGCTGCAGAGCGCTTCTACGCTAGAGGACAGTGTGGTGGACCGCTACACAGAGGCATCGCCTACCCCAGCAGCTCACAGAAGCAAGCAGCAGAAACTTTGATTCCCAAAACAGTATTTATATTCTATGCTATTTGCCAGCATAATTTTGCAACCCGAGCAAGTGTCTTCATTTTTCATAGAAAAATGCATATCATTTGAAAGATAATTCCTCAATTGTGCAACCTCCTGTGGTAAATCATCCACCAGTAACTCTAGCTCCACTCCTTCCTACCCTACTGCACTCTCAGCTATGTTGGGGTATGTGAGGTGTTTTTAGTTCCTAAGTTTTCTATGAAGAGAAATTCCTGAGAAGTAGCAGCTAACTAACTGAAGAACAAAAGCACAGGTTCCTCATTGTGCTCTCTTTGGTGAAGGGCAGGTGTACCAAAATACCACCGGCACTAACAGTAAGAGGGGTAATCCAACATAGACATGCTTGAGCTGCAAAACTTGCCTAGATGAAAGCAAAACGTGGCTGCAGCAGCACTGAAGCACAACACAGGCTGAAAAAAAAGCTCATAGAACTTCAGATATTTGGCCAGGTCACAGAACCGTGTGTTACAGCGCTTCCCCCGCGCCGTCACTGGTGCCTGATCAACCTGCTTGCGATCAGCCCAGGTGCGGCTGTAATACAGCAGTCAATTCCCATTCAGTATTCAAAGAAAATACCTTCTCACTCTACAGTTTTATTTTCTACCCCCAGGAGATCATTCCCTGGCAAATGACAGTCCTCTGGCACCCACAGCATGGTGTTCAGGTGACGCAGGACAGCCGTCAGCCAAAACATGCATCGGAGTAACAGACCACCTGATACCGCCATGGGAGAAGCTCAAATGCTACAAGAAGCATTTGAAGGGAGGGCAGATAAGTTGATGAGGGTGGATACGCAATCGAGACACGAGAAAAAAGCCCTTCCTCAATTAAACATTGTGCTATCACCTGACAATCCAAAAGGCACTTTCTCCGCTACATAATCAAATTCTGCATCAAAATAGATTTTAAAAACTTCTGGTACCAGAAAGAATACTTACGGCACAGGTGCAGAGATGTTCTCCCTAAAGGCAACTTTGGGCTTTCCCATGGTGCAAGGGCAACCATATTCTCTTTCCATTCGCTGCAGAAAAAAAAGCAGAATGAAATACAGGGTTGCTCCATTGGAACAATACTTTGGAAATTACTTTATTTACAGATCTTTCTGTAATGAGAAACTTAATCAGGGTTAACCAATTTTTTTGGTTTGAGGTTGGATTGATTTTCAGGGTCTTGGTGGGGCTTTTTTTGTGGATTTTTTGTTTGATTGTTTTTTTGTTTTAGTTTTTAAATGTTATGAATTATTCACTGTCATTCTGCAGTCATCCTTGTTTAGGGGCTACAGCAAGGAAAGGGAACAGCATTAATTATTTTATTCAAGTTTAAGTTTTTCAAGACAAAAAACATCTTTTCTTCATTCTGTTAACATTCCAGATAGATCTATTGTGTTAGACTAAAATATAGACTTGAAAGACACAAATAAATCACTGTAAGTAACTATTTCCTCCAGTCTGCATCATCTCTTATTAAGGAATGACACATCTGAAAACACAGAAACAGAATATTTCTCTTTCCTGTAGGAAATGGCTAACGGTAAAATTCACGACAAGCAAATGCAGCTAAATGAAAGTGTAGTGCTTAATACAACATTTTTTCATGGATATGAACCAAAAAGTAAAAATATTCCAGGCAGAAGTTTAATTTAAATAGATTACAAGCCTTCAATGGGACCACTGGACAGAAAGAATCTTCAAAAGTTGACTAAGAAGTTAAACTCTTCCCTAAGCAGCTAGTGCTGGTCCCGGTAATGTCACAGTGCTTTCTGCTGGGGAAATCTCAAAATTGTTGTCACACGATGACCTTGATTTACACAAAAGCAAGTGGAGTTATGCACCTCCAAACGTCCTATAAACTTGAGGTGCTCTTAGGCACCAAATTACAAAATGGGGGATAAAGGCTGGCATCAGTTAGCCCATCTGCAGATTTTGGTCTCAGCCAGAAAGGAAGGAAAATTCTTGGCTGGGAAACAGTCAAAAGGAGAGCCCACAGAATCCACTTTCCACATTACCTGGGCATAGATTTCCAAGTGCAGTTCCCCCATGCCTGAAACAATGGTCTCTTTGCTCTCATTATCAAAATGGATTCTAAAAGTAGGATCTTCCCTTGTAAAGCGGCTCAGGCCTTTTGAAAATTTATCAAAGTCATTCTGAAAAACAATTACACACACAAGAAAATATTATCTCAACATCCAGAAGTCACACAATAAAAAAGGCCTCAAATTCTCCTATCAGCTGCTTAGAACACTTCTGGCCTCACGAGGTTACTCTCAAACACAGCCATACATTTATTGCTGTATTTATCCCCCCAAAAGTACTTCAAGTCCATGTTTACCCAGGTCACAGACATGCATCTTCTTTATGGCTAAGTGATACCATCTAACACAGTCACAGGCTGAGCTAGCTGAATGACAGCTTCTTAAGTACTCTGGACGGAATGTTTAAAAACACAGCTCACTTTAGTCTGTGGTTCCATATTTAACTGCTAACCTCCATAAAATTATAAAAGCAGCAGAGAAAAGGTTGTCAGAAAAAGCAAGACAGAAAAGCAGTCAGAAGAAGGTTGATTCATAGGCTCCTACCTTGTTGGAAGGCTTCATAGCTACTGAAACAACAGGATCAGGGATGTGAATTGATTCCTGCAATGACCATAAAGGAAGAGATCATACGATTGAGTTCCACTACACCTGGTGATGTAATTTCTCCAGAAACATTCAGTCACAAGATCTCAGGGTTACAAACAGGGATGACTGTTTTACTTATCTGGCTTGTATCTAACATTATAGCATAATAAAACTATGCAACTCTCCTGAGGATTACTACAAGGCTATAACGTAATGCACGCTGTACTGCCAGCCCCAGTGTTGCCAACACTCTTTCCTAGATGCGAGTTGATCTCTGGATTTCACAACAGTTAGAAGACTCTGTTTCCTATTAGATTTTGTAAACGTATGTATAAATAAAACTTATCATTTAAATACATAGCTTAATATTTTTCAGTAACAGCATCCACTTCTAACAGCCCAGAACAGTTGGCTAACACTGAATTAATGTATTTGATGCCAAGTGTAGTAAACAGGTGTGTATCTCTCCTGCACATATCATACTTCTAGATATTCAGGCTCCTTCAGGTATAACAAATAATCAGCAAAAATATTTGTGGTTGCATATACATCAAAAAAATATTTAAACTGAACAGATGATTACAAACTTTTACACCAAAATCCCAGTAAATTCCAATGCATGAGGCACACAGATGAGCAGGTGTACTCACCATGGAAATGTCAGTGTTCGTTTTATCAGTGAACGTATCGCCACTAGCACAATCAACTCCAAACAGCGCACATATGTCTCCTGCATAAACTTCATTTACATCCTTAAGAAAGAAAAAGTTGACTATTTAGGTAACACTGGAAGATACGTTACAAACCACACCTGGTTTTAAGAAGATATCGAAATACCGTGTTTAAAAGCTTGAAGTTAAGCTCCTTTGAAAATTCCAGCTTTGATAAAATGCTCTGTGAATCTTCTCTCTCTTTATTCAAAGCACGAAAAGGAGACCTCAGCTTGGATGCTAACTTATTCTAGTTTAAGGATGTGAAGCAAACAACATGCTGTTTCTGGCAATCCCAATCCAGCTGTAGAGTTCAGGAAACTTAAACAGGAAAGGGTAGTATTTGCAGCAGTTTGAGAATTAATCTTTGGTTTAAGAATTGTATTCAGTGATCACATGCAAGAAAACTTTTGTGTATTTTGCTAATCCTATTTCCCCTCTCCCAGAAGTATGGAATATGGGGATAATACCACAGAGCTGGCTTGCTTTAGCTATCGCCTCAAAGATATTTTATAATGCTTCTTGGGCAAAAAGTCTTCCACTTCAGTGGAAATAATACACTAGAGATCATTCCAGTTTCTTTCCAGATCATTCCAGTAGAGCCCTTCAGTGCTACAGGCAAGTATGAACTAACAACAGCAGAAATTTGACGTATCACATTGTTTAGAGATAGATGAAGAACGAGAAGCTTGTTTAGTAGGAGTGGCTCAAAAGGCAACCTGTGCAGACTGCACCTCTCACACTCACCTCCATGTTGTCTGAATGCATACGCACAAGTCTTTGTACACGCACTTTCTTCCCAGTCCTAGTGTTATAGATATAATCAGATTTCTTCAGCATCCCCTGATAAACTCGAATATAGGTTAACTGCCCAAAACGGCCAGCCTGGAATGAAAATTCATTAAAACTCAGATATAATAATTCTGAGAGTCAAGATCACTACTATTCAAAGCATCATCTGCACTGACTGACTAAACCTTTCTGAATTCACACACCAGACATGCAACTGAAACTTTTTTTCGTGTAGTCTCAGCTTTCACTTGACTCTGGAATGGAACTTGGCACCTCCTGGCCATTTTCTTTACTTCACCAATCTCACCACTTCTAAATCCTCCCAACGGAGGCATACATTAATTAGCAATTTGGCCAGCCTCTTTTCATATGAAAATCTGAATTGCTACTCTCTAGGTAGCAAACAACTTGTTTGGTTAAAACTGTTTACTTTTTCCTCTCCGACTCTCTTGTGTTCCATTGTTTTCAGCTTAAAACCAGGATTTTTCTCTGAAAGTATTTGAAATAAGCCCATAAACCCCGCAAATGTTCAGGTTTTAACTAAGAAAACCATGAAGTATTTGAGGTACATAACCTGTTTTAAAATTTCCAAATTGGCAGTGTTTGATACACCTGTGGATTTTATGGTTGAAACCAGGGTTTTTTTTTGTTTTTTTTTTTTTGTTTTTTTTTTAAAGTTAAATTTTAATTGAATTTAAACATACACTGATTTTAAAATTTGTGCTACACAACTTCTGGTAGTACCATCTGTTTAACTATATGTTTTCTACTAAAATCACAAATAATGAATCTGGATGCCTTCCCTTCTCCTTCAGGGTTAACACAATGCGAGTACAACTGCTCCACAGAGGTCAGGTAACTGGTAGCGTGGGCAACTTTACCATATACACAGTGACCAAGTAAAAAAGCCTTCACATGCACAAATAGATACACTGAAAACACAAAGCTTTAAATGCGTGCTTTTCCCCCAAAACGACAGGCATTTCCCAGACATCAACGACAAGTCACCAATAGCACAGTGCAAGCAGGACTTGTGTACACTAACAACTCTTGCAGGAATTGCCCTGCTTCTCTACTGGTTTTGATGCATTAAAAAGAAAACAGTAATGGCTTACCTCCAGTTTAAAAGCAAGGCCTATAAAAGGCTGGGAATCGTCTCGAGCAGAGTTCAGCAGGAACTTGTTTTTGTCCTCAGAATCCCTTAAAAACAGGGATGGAGAGGGAATTTATGTGAAGAAACAAACATGGCAGCCTCCTCTAAGCATCAGCCCAACCTCAGAAAGTCCCAAGGGCCTTCAGTTTCACAGGTTTATAACAGACTTAAAGATGCTCACATATGTAACACCTACAGGCTCACAAAATACCTTGGAGAAACTGCAGCAGATCCCAAAAAGGGGGTGAAAACTATGACCAATATCACTACAACTATTTTGCCATGACAGCAATTAATCATACAGTCAGACACCACCCGTGAGCATGTCCAGTTTTAGAGTGAAGAAGGAGACATTGTAGTAACTCAGACAATGAGAAGTTTGAGTCTATCCTAGCATGCAGACCTTAGAGGCAGCGAGAGGCACAGCAGCAGTGAGGACCTGAAGGGTCAGGTAACAGCTGGGAGAAAAAGTCATAAAGTATATTTATTAGCATAATTTCTATTTAGCTATCATTATATTGTCTGAGCAACTCAAACATATTAAAAGAGACCTGATGGCCACCCCTAAGCCAGGACTGGAATGTTAAGGACTATTTACTGGCTGTAATGTTGGGTTTCATGCTTAACTGTGAAGGCACCCCTACTTCAACAAACACATCCAAAGAATAAAATAGCTTACACATTTCAGATGTGCTCTCTCCTCTACTGTAGGCATGATTTTAAGGGTTGCCATTAATTTCTAAAGAGCTATCTCATCAGATGATCATTTTTCAAACTTACCATTTAATGTGTGTTAAAAATACCAGCATAAACAATAACAGTCAAATGAGAGATCAGCTTTCTTCGTTTTGGAAGTTTATGCAAAATTATGGCAACATAATTTAATACAAATGGTAAATGGTCATATATTTTGTTAGTTATGTTTCCTGCTCCATATTACACTGCTTTGAAACCTGATTCCAAGACCACTCCATATGCTCATTAACCTACTTACCCCTGGTTTAGAATAGCATAGTTCTCAACCTCTGAAGGATTGGGGAGGTATTCCAGGACGGCATCCAGCAATGGCTGTACTCCTTTGTTCTTTAAAGCACTTCCCACAAGTACTGGGGTAAAGGACTTCTTCAGTGTTGCTCTTCTGATTGCAAGCTGAAAAATATCAGTGTATTATTCT